TATATATATATATATATATATATATATATATATATATATATATATATATATATATATATATATATATATATATATATATATATATATATATATATATATATATATATATATATATATATATATATATATATATATATATATATATATATATATATATATATATATATATATATATATATATATATATATATATATATATATATATATATATATATATATATATATATATATATATATATATATATATATATATATATATATATATATATATATATATATATATATATATATATATATATATATATATATATATATATATATATATATATATATATATATATATATATATATATATATATATATATATATATATATATATATATATATATATATATATATATATATATATATATATATATATATATATATATATATATATATATATATATATATATATATATATATATATATATATATATATATATATATATATATATATATATATATATATATATATATATATATATATATATATATATATATATATATATATATATATATATATATATATATATATATATATATATATATATATATATATATATATATATATATATATATATATATATATATATATATATATATATATATATATATATATATATATATATATATATATATATATATATATATATATATATATATATATATATATATATATATATATATATATATATATATATATATATATATATATATATATATATATATATATATATATATATATATATATATATATATATATATATATATATATATATATATATATATATATATATATATATATATATATATATATATATATATATATATATATATATATATATATATATATATATATATATATATATATATATATATATATATATATATATATATATATATATATATATATATATATATATATATATATATATATATATATATATATATATATATATATATATATATATATATATATATATATATATATATATATATATATATATATATATATATATATATATATATATATATATATATATATATATATATATATATATATATATATATATATATATATATATATATATATATATATATATATATATATATATATATATATATATATATATATATATATATATATATATATATATATATATATATATATATATATATATATATATATATATATATATATATATATATATATATATATATATATATATATATATATATATATATATATATATATATATATATATATATATATATATATATATATATATATATATATATATATATATATATATATATATATATATATATATATATATATATATATATATATATATATATATATATATATATATATATATATATATATATATATATATATATATATATATATATATATATATATATATATATATATATATATATATATATATATATATATATATATATATATATATATATATATATATATATATATATATATATATATATATATATATATATATATATATATATATATATATATATATATATATATATATATATATATATATATATATATATATATATATATATATATATATATATATATATATATATATATATATATATATATATATATATATATATATATATATATATATATATATATATATATATATATATATATATATATATATATATATATATATATATATATATATATATATATATATATATATATATATATATATATATATATATATATATATATATATATATATATATATATATATATATATATATATATATATATATATATATATATATATATATATATATATATATATATATATATATATATATATATATATATATATATATATATATATATATATATATATATATATATATATATATATATATATATATATATATATATATATATATATATATATATATATATATATATATATATATATATATATATATATATATATATATATATATATATATATATATATATATATATATATATATATATATATATATATATATATATATATATATATATATATATATATATATATATATATATATATATATATATATATATATATATATATATATATATATATATATATATATATATATATATATATATATATATATATATATATATATATATATATATATATATATATATATATATATATATATATATATATATATATATATATATATATATATATATATATATATATATATATATATATATATATATATATATATATATATATATATATATATATATATATATATATATATATATATATATATATATATATATATATATATATATATATATATATATATATATATATATATATATATATATATATATATATATATATATATATATATATATATATATATATATATATATATATATATATATATATATATATATATATATATATATATATATATATATATATATATATATATATATATATATATATATATATATATATATATATATATATATATATATATATATATATATATATATATATATATATATATATATATATATATATATATATATATATATATATATATATATATATATATATATATATATATATATATATATATATATATATATATATATATATATATATATATATATATATATATATATATATATATATATATATATATATATATATATATATATATATATATATATATATATATATATATATATATATATATATATATATATATATATATATATATATATATATATATATATATATATATATATATATATATATATATATATATATATATATATATATATATATATATATATATATATATATATATATATATATATATATATATATATATATATATATATATATATATATATATATATATATATATATATATATATATATATATATATATATATATATATATATATATATATATATATATATATATATATATATATATATATATATATATATATATATATATATATATATATATATATATATATATATATATATATATATATATATATATATATATATATATATATATATATATATATATATATATATATATATATATATATATATATATATATATATATATATATATATATATATATATATATATATATATATATATATATATATATATATATATATATATATATATATATATATATATATATATATATATATATATATATATATATATATATATATATATATATATATATATATATATATATATATATATATATATATATATATATATATATATATATATATATATATATATATATATATATATATATATATATATATATATATATATATATATATATATATATATATATATATATATATATATATATATATATATATATATATATATATATATATATATATATATATATATATATATATATATATATATATATATATATATATATATATATATATATATATATATATATATATATATATATATATATATATATATATATATATATATATATATATATATATATATATATATATATATATATATATATATATATATATATATATATATATATATATATATATATATATATATATATATATATATATATATATATATATATATATATATATATATATATATATATATATATATATATATATATATATATATATATATATATATATATATATATATATATATATATATATATATATATATATATATATATATATATATATATATATATATATATATATATATATATATATATATATATATATATATATATATATATATATATATATATATATATATATATATATATATATATATATATATATATATATATATATATATATATATATATATATATATATATATATATATATATATATATATATATATATGTATATATATACATTAAATTTCTCTAATTTTTACTATTCATTATATATAAAATTTAAAAGTTATTTCTTTTTAATTGTACATTTCAAACATGAAATATACTATAATACAATTTTCTTTGAAATTGTCTGCAACAGAATTAAACATTATAAAAAAAATCACTTTTAATAAATTTGTCATTCAAACTTAAGAGATTATAAAATGATTATAGTCACTGAAGATGATTGAAAACATTTGTTCATATTTGCTGGTGTACATATGAGTTGTATATTCATATGTAAAACTATTTTTAATTACTATCTTCTTTAACTACTATGTTGGAATACTTCTTAACATAAAAAAAATCTCTTAAGTTCTTTAAGCTATCATATCCATTTTCAGGGGAATGCTATCTCTATTCCAATAAATAATTATAATTTCTAGTTCTTATTTAAATTTGTTCCAGTGAAAGCTCCAAAAATGCAACGACTTCTCTGTTTTAAAAAAATGAAGCAGATGACTTTTTTGAAATTTATTCAGCACCCTCTAATTTTCTCATCCTGATGACTACTTCCACAATGTGGATAATGATTCTAATTCCCTACTATTAATTAATCAATCCTCTCCTTAAACCTTCTCTATAAATCCATAACTTTTCTGCTTGATCTAAACCATCTTTTCTGAGTTCTAGAATTTTCACTTCCATTCTATTTCCAAATTTCTCTCATAGACAACTTGACTTAAAACTATGGTGACCAGGGCTTGGTCAAGAAATTTTCCATTTGCAGATGTTTATATACAAATATTTCAAAATTATGATGCTAATATTAGACAGTGGTGATAAATATTACTAAGACATTGGAATTACAATATTTTATTATAATTGTTTTTAATACTCATTTGGTCTTTTTATTCAAAATTATTATATAATCTAAGATATTTATTTTAGTTTAGTTTTAGAATATTATAAACATAGCCTAATCTTAATATTTTAATGTTTTTATTTGCAGATGAAGAAAAGAAGGATAAAAAGCAGTGTCATTGTGAACACTGTTCTATAAAAAATAGTTGTTTAAGAGCAAAAGAGCCATTAAGAAAAATAAAAAAGCGTCTTGTGTAAGTTATTCCAAATTTTTTATTTATGATAAGATATTTTTAATGTTTTAATAATTGTCACTTTAATAAAACAGAAAAAATATTTTGAACAAATAATTGTTAAAACTCTGTAATTATAAGTAAAAGTACCTGTTTAATGCAGTATTAATCCTAACTCTTTCAAATGAAATAAAATGCAAAAATGTGTAAATGATAATGTAGGAAAGAAATTGAAGAAAAATAGTTTTTATTTTTCTTGTTAGAAATGCAAAGGAGTTCAGTCCATGATTCGTTATGCATCTGGAGACCTGTGCACAGCTACTGTAATGAGTTTTAATGACAGGATAATCAATTAAACAATTAATCTCACTAAAATCAGCCTGTTCTTCAAATTGTTTTTCTGGCAGAATAATTTATTTATATATAATCAAGACAGCAATGCTTTTTATGACTCCATTAATGAAAATGTGAAGAAAACTTTCTTTCTGACCTTTTCCAGATTGTCAATCATTTTATATAAATGTTAAATTTCACTTTATACAGAACATCAGTTCTCAGTTTTACATAAAAGACAGATTTATTAAATATGTTTTTACTTACTAAACTTTTTTGCTGCAGTTATTGATAAGAAATAATGGATCAGTTTGAAATACAGTGAAACCTCCATTAATTAACACACTCTCGAATAGCAGACACCACTGCTTAACAGACATTTTTACAATCCTCAAACCCTTCAAATAGGACATCTACAATATTTACCTCTAAGGTTATGGACGATAGTGTTTGTTATTATCTCATGAAAACACAATCTTGCCTTCAAATTCTAAAGAATTAATTACAGAAAATTTTAAAACTAAAACAAAGAATCAGTTCAAATACTTTAGGATAAATTTTGATGGATTATATTGAATAAAGACTGGCTTAAAATAGAGAAGGAGGGCAGGTTGTAAAAAACTGAACAATACTCTGTCTGTTTGAGAAGACTAATCTGGTTAAGTTGTCAATCGCCATTTATCATCATATATGTTAATGTTATTAAACTTCTGTCTTATTCTTGGAATTAAGCTTATGGTGCCAAGAAACCATAAACTTTTCCTGAGTTATTCATTCATTCAACAAGAGTAATGAAATAGTTTTAAGGGTATGACAACAGTGTATATTTGGTGAAAGTTCAAAGATTGTGTTACAAAGGTGATTTTCCAACCACTTTAAAGTATAGGAAGATATTTAGTTTTCTCGCATTTATGACAATTTATAATCATAACAGCTTTGTGGTAGCTTAAGTGTAATTTTTTATAAATCATTTATTATAAAGCAAAAATGTTTGAAAAATTACACATACTCAATAACTACAAAGTAGACAAATCACTATTTTCATTTTTATTAGTCGCTTAGATCATAAACGATATTCTAAATACAAGAATAACAAATACATTTCTTACCCTTTGAAGTGGCTTGCAAATCGTCTTCATAACTGGGCATTTGAACTGTCATTGCCTAAACTGACTTTCATCCACCTTTCTGTTCATAATAACAGTTTCATTTTTCTTTTTTTGTTACTTCTGCTCAGGTCGTTTTTGATGAATTAATTAATTAATCAATGTTTACATTTTGCCATAATTTTTATGTTCCATTTAATGTCTTATACAATCTGTTTTCTATTTCAAATTCAATTAAAATGTGATTTTTACAACTGAAAAGATAACTAATATACTTCTTTATATATATATATTTTTAAATTATGTATGCTACATATAGTTTTGGTATTTTACATTCCTAATGCAAATTTGATGTTTTCATAATTTGTCATATTCTTCATTTTATATGATCAGGTTAAAATATAGTATGGTTGCCAGCATGTACTGTACATTACTAGTACCTCTGAATAGCAGGCAAACTTCTCAGTCTCGATGGTGATCACTATTCAGATTATACTGTATAATAAATTATTCAAAAATTGTGGTTTATCTCTCATACTTTAGCTAATAAAAAATAATGTTTACCAAAAAATAAACTTTTTTGAATGAAATATTTTGGATTATATAATTTCTAAAATTTTATTATTAATATTATGATTACCAAATTTTCAATATTTAAAATAAAATTGACAGAATTCTTGAATTAATAAAAAAAGAGAAAGAGAGATAATGTGGAAGGAAATATTTTAAAATTTGGAAAACACAGCTTTCCAGATGACATAGTTTCCATCCATGACTTCACTACATTTGTCAGAACATGCAAATAAACTTCTTTCATGACATTTTTCCCTTTGTTAAAGAAATACAGTGGCATGACATCACCCTCACTGCACACAACGCCTAGCATGTGAACATTTGCCAGAAATTTCATTCTTGCAATAATGGGGACATCTTTAGGGTTGTGAGCAAGCCAGCAGTCATTCCTTCGATTGATTTTCACATTGGCAGTAAAAATTTTCTTGTCAGAAAAAAATCTGAGCCGTCTGGCAGCATTGTTTCTTAAGGAACACAAAAGCAGATTACAGCATTCAACTCACTTTGTCCTGGCAGCTTCAAAAAGCATCTGTCTCACTTTAATTGTGTAAGATTTGTAGCAGTGGTCCTCCTCGATGATTCTACACACAGTTTTTCTCACTCACACCAACAACCAACGACAATTTTTGGATCAACTGACCTGGATCCTCAAAAATCAGCTCCTGAGTCCATTGAATGATATTAGGTGTCCTGACAACGTGTTCCTTCAAGTGAGTTTTCCTCGTGTGTGTTGTAAAACCTTCGTTGGACTTCTCTGATTCATTGTACTTTGCAACGACATCATACACAGTCAATCTCAGGTACCTGAAGAACTGAATAGTTTCTGTCACCAAGCACCCATTGCAAACACTTTCGATAATTGTGGCTCTTCTGTTACACTTCATACTTGGTTTCAACATTGGTTATGATGGTTTAGTACATGTGTCAAGCTATTTGAATGCTAAACACATCATCTACCAGTGGTATAGAACAGTGGGAATTTGAAGTTGAATTTTGTGTGGATTTTGGTGCCACACCATGTATATGTAATTGCTCATTACTACGGACTCTTCTATTACCATACATTGGGATTACATTAGAACATATCTTGATAATTGACCTGGAGAAAATATCTACAGTTTGCAGATGTTTTCTCCAGGTCCAGATGACAAATTAATGTATTTTTACCTTGTTTCAGCAGATCTGTTACTACTGATATAAAGAGGTTCTACTGTATACGGTAATATCAACTTGTACATTACTGTTTATCAATATTGTGGATAAAAGTCAATTACATAGTGGACAAAATTTCAGTTGTAGAGTATATAAACTACATTTTTATTAAATTGTAAAAACAATATATAATCTAATGTTTTGTTTTCTTCTTTGATCCATGATTTTGCTTTACACAACAAATCCAAGTCACTTATACAGAAAATGAAACCATAACTGAATAAAACTAGTCCATCAGAAAATGAAAAAAAAACTAAATGTAATATGAAAATCTACACTGAAAAAATGATAAACACAAAATAATATAAAATGAATTTTTTAATTTTTTATAAATAAAGTAAATAAAATGAACTGTTATGAAATAAATAAAAACAATGACTGCAACAAAATAAAACAGCACTGGAAAGTCCATAATAATGGAAAGATAGTGGTCTGAGACTTGAAAAATGGTCTGTAGTAGTGGGAGTTCACTACAGCAAATGAGTTAGAATTTTCTTATAATCTTATAATTTTCCTATACTTTCAGCTAGCTGACATCAGCTGTCCATAATAATGCAATGTCAGTTATATCAAGATCCATAATATGAAGCTTTTACAGTAGTTTAATGATACCAAACTTTTTTAAATTGATGGACTTCTTTTGTTGTTGGATCCTAAGATGGCAATCTCCCAAGCTTTATTAATCAAGAGTCTTAGGAATTTCTTGGAATCATTAAAGTATTATTTGAATATTTTATCTATATTATATTTTCTGTTAGGTTTTTACACTCTAATAAGTCTGTAAAGTATTATACATTTTCAATATATTTTATTATGGTTGCAATTAAACAGTTGAAATATGAACAATTAGCAAAAGAAATCTTAAAATTTTTGTTGATTTTTTCTTATGGCAATGTAGGTCCTCAAGGAATTGCTGTATTTGTTGATTTTATTTAAAATTATTTAATGTGATTGATAACTTTACTGAATGTCACATAAAAATTTAATCACATTTAAAATTATAAAAGAAAAGTTTATTTTTATGTTATTATTAACCTATAAAGTTATTTTAAATGAAACTTATGAAATATTCTCTAATAGGTTCTGCCACATTAATGTCCTTTGCTAAAAATTATATTTCAAAAACTGCAATGTAGTTTTTCAATATAATTTAAAACAAATCTTGATTTTAGCTTGATAAGTTTGATTTATTGCATTGCAGAAAGTAATTTCTGCAATGCAATAAATCAAACTTATCAACTCGACAGTATTTTCAACAATCTTTACCTTTTCATTTGTTGTTATATTTAAGAATAAGCTTTGCATTTATTTTTAATGATTTTAACTTAATATTACCTCACTTTGTCATAATTTTCTAAACTTTTCAATATAATTTTTATCTGTATCACTAATTTTATCTTGCATTCCAATTTTATATGTAATATTTTTTTAATTCTGTATATTGTTCATTATAGTTAATAAACTATATATTTTCTTACATTAACTAATCTCACTTTCAGATTTAAAAGCAATCAGTATTTCTGACCGACAAAATTGTCATATATATTATTGATTTGCAACAATTATTTGTATTAACATTAAAAATAATGTAATAAAATTCATAAAAAAATTTTTTAATTTATAGGAAAATTTTATTACTACTTGGTTGGGTATGCTTATTTGCTACTGCATATAAAGTTGCCCATTTACAACATGATTATGTGGCTTGGGATCCATTTGAAATTCTCCAAATTGATCCAGTAAGTTTTTATTTTTATAGTAGTAATTTATAATAATTGAACTAGATAATAAAAGTTAATATTATTTTTTGAAAGATGATGGAATAATGTAAGATACTACTTTAACTTATTGACATTTATAATAAGAAATAATTTATAATATTAGTTTGACTCAAGTTCATGTATTTAAATAAAAGAAAAACAAAAAATAAAATTTTTATTTAGAAAGTACAACTATATAGAACAAGATGATTAGCTAAAAGTACTTATTTTTTTATTAAAAATTTCATAAAATTTGGGGCTGTGGAGTCAGTAGATTTTTACACTACTCTGGCTTCGACTTTGCCTTACCATCCAACTCCAGCTAGGGTCAGACTTGTTAACAAAATAGGCTTGGAAATTCTGACGTCATCACATGACCTCAAAATATAAGCTTCAATAAATATAGTTCTAATAAAAATAGAACATAGAAACTTTACTCCAAAGCTAAAAGACTCCTGTAAATAATGACATAGTCAATATATAAATATGTATTCAATAATTTTTACTTTTCCAGAAAAGTAAAAATTATTGAATACATATTTATAGCAGGAAAAGTGTAGAGGAATTAGAGGAAAAGTGTAGCAATTGGTCAAAAAATGACCCCACCCCAAATTTTTACATTTTTGGATTCAGAACACCCTGAAATGTCAAGAAAGCAAAAGATTCAGTTTTTTTCCCCCCTGTATGACTGTGTGGGGAGCACTATTTTGAATTGGAGTCAGATGGTTTAATATAGGGGTTATTAAGCTCCAAAGTGGTTGAACTAAATAGTTTGGTACACATTCTAACATCCGTGCTTACAGGAAAAAACCACGAATGTTTTTGCACTTCTCTACATTTCAAGAATTCCAGAGTCCAAAAGAGTAAAAATCTGGGAAAGTCATTTTTGATCGATCGTCATTCTTTTCTTTTGTTTTCAGCTTATATTGCATAACAACCAGGAAAGTAACAATGACAACGATTCTGATTACTTTTTTAAAAATACAAAATAAAACGATTTTAAAAAATGAATTAAACATTAAAATATGACAGATTTACTGAATATATAAATTCACATTTATTGACTTGTTTGATGATGGTAATGGTATTTGGTAAGCATGTATGAATAAAAATAGTAAATTCATTTGTACACAAACAAATTAGTTTAATAAAAATTTACATAATATACGAGTATATTTGGTAATATGTAAGTATACAGATACATTAAACTAAGTCAAGAATAATAAATATAACTTTAGACTGGTAAAGAAAAAGGTTGCTTATTTTGCTATGTTGATTAATTTATTATTTTTTATCTCTGTTATAAACTGAATTACTCCTTACAAAAAGAATTGCTTCTATTAAGTCAGCATTCACGGAAGCTCTTAAATCATATTTAATAATTTTAAGAGCAGAAAATGAACACTCTACTGAAACTTGGGTTGATGGCAATGCTGTATCTTGGATAATATCTGAATAGTGCAGTATTGCTGTCTTAACATCCAAACTTGAAGAATGGTCAATGTGATTTATTTTTTCTAATATATTATAAAAATCATCTTTAAATTTTGTAAGATTGCCTTTTCTGTCTATACTCATATTAGAACTTAAGCTTAATTTTGAGGGTAGAGATGAGTTTTATAAAACACTAGCAGATGAGCCAGATGTTGCTCGAGCAAAAAGTAACAATAATGAAGATTAAGAGTATTAGATTATAACTGATCTTACCTGTTCTCACTGGGTGCAAGAATGAGGTTCCCTCCTCTTTCGAGACTAATTAGAGAATTTTTAGATGAGTCTAAAAATATGTTCAATTTCCTGCAAAAATGCAAAAACTAGTACAATAGAAGCTGAGTTCTTCAGGTTAATCCTTACTCCTCTCCCTTTCCCCGGGAAGGGGGAATTTCGAAAAATCCCTTCTTAGAGTACTGTACATTCTCATAACATATCCTAACTGTGTACCAAATTTCAACTTTCAACTCATAACCATTTGAGCTCTGAGCTTATTATTATTATAACCTATCTCAATTATAAGATTGTGAATGCTTAATAATAATAATGAGTAAAATATTCATTAAGTCTGACCACACTGGAGATATAACACATGACCCCCTTCTATGTCTTTATCCTGTCGTCCTTTAATTAAGAACTAAAATTTAATAGCATTAATGCCCCTTTATATACATGTACCATGCCAAATTTTGTTTCTTAAACTTTACCCATTCTGAGATATTGTTTAATATCTCAGAACAGAGAATAAAGATGTTAAACAAATTAGACGCCAACACACGTGCACACAAATTTTCCCCTTTATTTGACATATTTTGGTTTTGAGAGATCTCCAAATGTGTAGATTTGCAAAAAACTCAAATGTGGGTCAAAAGGGTCAAATGTGACACAATTCAAATACTTTTCTGTTTTATATACATAACAAGTTGGGAAAGTAAAAAAGAAGTTGGAGGCAGCAGACTTTTGATGACTTTGACTAAAACACCTAAACTCCACAGTCCCAATAAAATTAAATATTTGGTATCTTTATTATAATCAATTTACATGATTGAAATAATTTCTAGATTTAATAAATTAACTGAGTTTTTCATTTATGATATTACAAAAATTTTGTTCTATTGAATATGGATGTAATAATTAAGGGAGAGTAGAAACACACAGTAATAAACCTGATTTCTGAAAATGTAATGATGTAATTTGCTCCTCTTAACATTGCACTTTTTATGACAATGCTTGGAAAAACATATTATATTGTGTATTAAATTTTTTACAGTGGTTTAAAAAATTTTTAATACTACTTTGCTAATGTTAATGATTATAATGATCATTATAACATTATTTATTAAAAGACTTTAAACAAAAATTAATATAATCATTCTGTTACTGTTGTTGTTATTAATGTCATTAAATTCTATTACTATAATGTTGATAATGGAAATAATGTTGATAATGGTTAATGTTGATAATGGAAATAATAATAATAATAATTATTATTATTATTTCCATTATCAACATTAATGTCTTCTAAGTCAGATATAGCCAAAATACAATCACCTCAATTTACTAAGTTTTTATAATAATCACACTTAATTAATTAATAGAATGAATGTACAGATATCCCCTGTATAACATGTTAGTTAGGTTCCAAAAAAGTGCCATGTTATGCAAATCTATGCTATACAAACTGAAGGACTAGTACAATACATAGTTGGATGATTTATTATTTAAGGAGCTGAGTAAGATATTTGGTTAACAATACATAGCGTTAGGTTCCAAAAGTTAGCAAAAGTACACTATTTTTTGTAATTAAGAAAAATATGGTTGTTAGTTTTATTGGTCATCGATTTCTGTTAATAATCACAATCAGAAATGTTGCACATTAATAATTTTTCTTCACTGCTAAACATTATTAAATAAGGATGTGTTCTTTTTGACAAAATGTTATCTTCTGAGTTTTCCTGTTGACCTTAACCTGAAGTATTGGCAACATCTTGATTTTTTTTGCTATTTTTCATGAAATCTAATACAGTAGAACCTCGATTATCCGGATTGTTCAAAATAAACAAAAATTTTACTAATTTGCTGATTTGCACTTGGCGAATTACGACACTGTGTACGTGATGGAATGCATAACTTTTTTTGTTTCAACAACGTCTCACCCAGCACAGTGGTCGTAAACTCTTAATATTTTACGTTGTAATAAAAATATAACTTGACATATGTATTTATAAATAATTTATATTCAAATTACATCATTTCTATGATCAAGGGCGACGTAAGGCATGGACGACGTATGCCTCGCGGTCCGAAGGGCCTCGTGCCTTGTGCCTCGAAGGTTTATGCATTACATAAAAGCCGCAAACATGACAAAAAAATTTTACTCATCATAAAACAATAAATAGTTTGTCAAATTTTTATTCATAAAAATGCAGTTTCAACTGCTTTTTATTTTATAAAATCTGTCTTTTTGCACCACCAGAGGGCCTTTTAAACAATATGTAGTCTGTTAGCACTGGTCAATAGTAGTCTAAATTCAATACAAACATTTGTTTCTTGAAAATTTGATCACGATTTAAATACAGTATTTATTTTTAATATTACCAATATATCATCGAAAAGAAAACATGTTGTATTATCATTAAAAGACAAATTAAAGTATTTGTTTCGATTATCCGAATTTTTCCTTATCTGGACTACCTTCATCCCCAATTAGTCCGGATAATCGAGGTTCTACTGTACTTTTATTTGCTTGCATTTACCTAAGACAGGAGTGTCAAATTGACAGCCCCAATGTGATTTTTCACATTGGGGATCTGAAATGAAATAAAACAGCTTACAGATCAAGATCAATTGATAAACATCTATCTTCTATAATGAAGGTTGTTCTCAGTCTTTAAATCCAGATTTTGGAAAACTAGGAGGAGGAAGATAGTGCTGGCTAGTTTCTGGTAAAAACAATTTTAATTTTATAAATAATCAGATTAAATAAAATAAATGTTTAAATAAAAGCAATACTATAGCAATTATATATTGTTGAGTTGAATTCACTGAACTACATAATGTGTTTTAATTGCCCTATCTATAATCCTGCATTCTCACTTCAAACTATAATTTTAAGTAAATTTGTAAATGTGATGTGGCCCATGTGAATCTTACCAGTCGCATTAATGGCCCATTGTTTAAATGAGTTTGACACACCTGCACTAAGAGATCTTTAAAAATCTAATCTTTTTATGTAGTAACTTTTAATTTAATCTATAGAAACAAATCACAACAACAGGTTTTTTTTGTTTATTTGGAACACTATCACCAACTTCAGTGACACCTGGTTTATAGGAAAGCTAGAATAGGAAGTTGGGACAAGGAAGAAGAAAAATTGTTTTGTGACTTTTGTGCAGTTCTCATTAAAGAAAACTGGGCAAAATGCAAAAAACATCATTGAAAATTTCAATATTCTAAAGCCCATGGGAAAATATGAAAACACGGTCTTCCTTGAATAAAAAAATATCAAATGACAATGTTTGCACTTAAAAATTGTCATGTTTTGTTCAAGGATGTTTCTAATTCTTAATTAAACTACGTTAGAACGAAAGCATGTTCTAAAAACATTGTATTATACAGGAGATTTCCCCAATTCTCAAATCATGTTGGAGTGAAACTATGTTGTAGGAATGCTATGTTGTATGTGGGATAGCTGTATTTCAACAAGTCCATCATATTTTGTCTCTTTTCTTTTGTCACAATTTTACTACTAAGATATAACAAAACTAGGTCTATACTTTTTAAAGCTAATAGTTTACCTATTTGGGATTTTTTAATATTGATGGAATTGAACTCTATTTTTGTTAAAATTGCATTTGACTTGTATAATGTGTGGTTTTATTCTCTCCAATCAGTTTACTGATAACACTATAATTGTTTTCTATTTATAATAAAATCTTCTAATGGTATTCTAGAGAGAAAATTCTTATTGAGTTATTTCAACTACATGAAATCATGCTTTCTTCTTATAGTTTTTGATTATATCATATCATTCTTTGTAAAAAAAAAAGTGTTTGATTTTTTTTCATGTGTGACTTGATTAAGTTTCAAAACACCTCTTTTTTTTTAGCAATTTCTTTAATTAAATCAAAAGAGCTAATGTTTTCAAATTTTAAATGACCTTCTACAGGTTAAGGATAATTGGAACATCATAACCTGAAGGCCATTTGAAATAGCCGAAAACATTAGTTCTTTTGATTTAATTAAAGAAATTGCTAGAAAAAAGGAGGAGAGGTATTTTGAAACTTACTATAGAAAAGTTCTAATTTACTGCACATAGAATTGTGACTTGATAATGGCAAAAACCAAAATATTAGATAAATAACTATGCTTACATACCAAAAGTTTGATTTCAATTGATTCAGCTTTTATTTCTGTACTTTGCTCTATTTTAATAAACTTAAAACAGTTTCAGTATTTCCATTTTGTTCAGTGCACAAATCTGTGTACATTAAAAAAATAATGATTTTTAGCACAAGTATTTATGTACTTAATTAAGCATGACAAAATTTCTTGATACTGAAGTGATTTTTTTAGTTTCTGGCCAAAGGAACATACAGCTAACATCTTTGTTGAAATCATGGGAATCAAAATTATAGACATAAGTTGTGCTTTTAATAAGCTATCAGTGTAATAAGTTTGGGAAAGACTGAAGCTTTTTCTAAGTCAAAACTAAATACAAAATTTTTTTTCCAATCTTATCTTTTAATCTGCCAACCATATGACTACAGGCTGGTTCTGCCTTATATAGATGTATATTATTATTTTCAATTTTAGCTTTCCCAATTTCATTATTTTTTGAAAATTGAATTTTTATTTCCTGAAATTTGGCATGTGCTATTAGAAGGTTGCTTGAAATGTAAGTTAAATTTAATAGAAAATACCATGTAATCATAATCTTTCATGAATATTATTTCTTTTTGCTTCACATTGCATGACAAAGTTCATATACAGTTGAACTCTGTTATAATGAGCATCATGGTTATAATGAGTGTACTTTATGAATATACCAAGTGAATTTTCAGTAACTATGCAAAGACATGAACATTCCAAAATAATTGTAAAAAACAATGGAGTCAGACTTCTTTCTATTCTTCTTACGTAAATGTAAATTACACAAAAAAATTATATTTTTCTTTCACTTCTGACTTTTGGATATTATATAACTTCAATATATTTTTAAAACATTAAACCAATAATGACTAAAAAATTAAAGCTAAAAAAAGGTATAAAAAGAAATCAGTTTGCAGAGAAAAATACTTTTTATTTACATTACTAACAAGCTCTCCAAATGCATTTTGCCTATGAAAAGCCGCCTCAGTGGGGCTAATTGTACACAGTTCATGCTCCGACAATCAACTCGTTAATAAGAACCACTTATATAGTTTACAAAAAATTCCCAGCATTCTGCTGTTAACATTCCCGTATTTAAATTTACATTATTGTTCTGCATAATTACAGTGAAGTGTTCTTTTACCTTCCATTTTACATTGTTTTTTTTCTCTGAACATTCTTAATTGTTCCAAATAGTAGGAAATGAGGTACTAAATTCATGGAAGAAATAAAATTGAAAAGATTACTTACTTTTATGACCACTGGATAATTAGTTTTACAACCTACATAAATCCTTACTCTGCAAATTTACCTAATTACTGTATACTCTAGTTAGAAACGAACCCTTTATGAGAAAGATGTCTGCAAATAAAAGAAAATTTATCTTTATATATGAAAAAAAGAAAAGTATTTGCAAGTTAGAAAGTGGTGCTAAAAATGTCAAACTGTGCAAAAGTATTCTTTGTCTTCTTCAACAGTATTGATGCTATGGAAAATAACAATGTCTACCTGTCAGCACTGGAGAAAAATATAACAAAACAAAAAAAAAATTAGAAAGTGTGAGTGTGCGAACATTGATGAAGCACTGTTTCAATGGTCTAATACATAAAAATGCTGGATTTTTGATAGACAGACCAGTCTTGAAAGCTCAAGCAGAAAAATTTGCTAGAGAATTTGGATGCAACAATTTTGTATACAATAACAGTTGGCTGGATTGATTCAAAAAATGACACAACATTGTTTATTCAAAAATTTGTGGAGAATCTTGATCTACTGATCTAGTCACCACAAGTGAATGGATTGACTGTGTTTGGGCAGAAATGAGAAAAGATTTTAATGATGAAAATATTTACAATGCTTATGAAATGGGACTTTTTTATAATCTGACACCTCACTATATATTTAAGTTCAAAAGGAAGAAAATGTGTTGGTGGAAAAAAATCAAAGAATCATTTGATAGTGCTTTTGTATGTGCAAATATGACAGGAACCAATAAGAAGAAACTGCTAGTTATTGGAAAATCATTAAAACCACAATGTTTTAAAAACGTAAAGAATCTTCCTGTAGATGATGATTATTCTATGATCACTTCATCAATGAGAATGCTATTCCTACCATGCAGCTGTCAGATTGTTTCTTGTTGTTATGGTGCCAATTGCTAAGTAACTTTTTCTTGACAATTTTTTCAGCTTACATTTTACCACTCTCAAACCCTTCTAATTTTCTCATTCTGGATTTCTCTCATTTGTAAAAATCAATAATTGGCATCTTTTAATGTCAGTGATTTGTGTATAGCTGTATTGTCACTTGCAAATTCTCTTTTCAACACAAGTTGGTAATGAACAGTACTTGAATTTAAACATAGAAATTATGATTTTGCATAATATCTATATTGATTATTGATAATTTTTACATTATTCTGCTTAAAAATTTTTTATGATGTATATAGTATTAAATAAATGTATTGTGATTGTCAATGATTTTTCAATTACAGTATGACTTTTATTAAGTAAATTGTTACAAATAATTCTCTAATAGAAGAAAAAGCAGTTACCCAGAAAGTACATTTGTACACAGAATAACATTTTATTGTTAGTGTTTGATCCTTTGGTGTATTTAATAGAATATGTTATGCTCATTTACCCACTCTCTACTGCTTAGTAGTGGGTGTTTCAAACGTAGTTTTTTTTTGCCTAACACACTTAGTTTTATAATGTTCAGTTTAGTTTCCACAGTAATAGAGCAACATTTCTTGCATTTATTTTCATTGCTAGATTTACTATTATGTTTTGGAGGTATTTTGAAGCACTAAACATAAAAATTATAAAAATTGCAAATAATAACGAAAAATGCTGTTACTTCCATGACTCTAACACCATCTCGCAAGCTTCACCGGAATGTCAAAATTTGTGTGAAAACAAAACAAAAATGATACACAATAGAAATAAACCCACAATAGTTATTTATTAAAAATGTATTATATATAACTGACCAAAGACTAACTTCTCTTGCCACTCATGGATTGGCATTGAACTTTAGAATTTGTGCAAAATTTAAATTTTAGACAGTCATATTATTTGTAAGTTGAATGTTCATAAGTAGGGGAGCACCTGTACATTTATAGGTGACAATCTATTTTAAACAATATTTTAAGATGATGAACTGATTTATATGTATGGATTGACAAGTTTAAAAATTTCATGAATAGTAATGATTATTTAATTTTTCATATTTTAAGGCATCCTCAATGAGTGAAATTAAAAAGGCTTATCGTAGATTAAGTTTGATATATCATCCAGATAAAGAAACAGGAGATGAGAAAAAATTTATGATGATTGCTAAAGCTTATGCAGCGTAAGTACATTGGATATGTAATTTAATTTATTGATAAAAATATTTTGATAACATTTAAATCAGTAATTTTTACTTAATAATAACTAAAAATATGTTTTATTGCAAATATTTTAGTTTGACAGATGATGAAGCTCGAAAGAATTGGGAAATGTATGGAAATCCAGATGGACCTGGAGGTTGGCTTATTTTATTGCATAATTATCATTTTTACTATTATAATTCTAGTTGCAGTTTATATATACATGTGTTATTATTTTAAATAACATAACAAATAGCAATTTTGCCAAATAAATAACATTGATGCTGAATTATTTAGTGACTGAATAATCAAAATTTATTTAAAAGTTTAATTAACATTTTAAACAGATTCTGCTTATACAAATTGTGATTAAAACAGGAGAAATGATGGGTTAACCAGATGTTTCTTTTAACATTCTGTTTTTAAAAAAATTAATTAAATCAGAAATTTTTAAAATTACATTGTTATAGTTTAATATGAAAAATTTTAACATTTGAAAAAATACAAATATTTAAGTTTTTAAGCAAATATGTTAAAAACTGAAACACAATGAAATATTTATTGCATCTCTACTATTAATACAATCTGTATATTCTAAAAATAAATAATTTCTAGACTAAAACAAGTAGATATACTTTTTACATCCGACTTCGAGAAATTTGCATGCACAGACAAATGAAAAACGATGAAATACTAAACCTTTATTCTTAACAGTTCCATTCTCAGTAAATTCACATAATCCAAATTACTGAGAATGGAACAGTCTTAGATGGAAAATCACTTATTTATTATAAGTGATTTTCCATCTAATTTCAATAATTACTAAGATGTTTAATTTTTTGTGTTTAAAAAAATTACAAAAAGTTTTAATATTTTTCTATAAATGTATCTAATTATTAAAAATATTTGGAAAGTTATAAAAGAAAATTTGTAAAAGTTTTTTTTTCTTTAAAATGAATAATACTTTGGCAAATAAATTACTTGTAACAAATATATATATTCAGATTCTAATAATAGTTTATTTAGTTGGTTGACAGTTGAAATTAATTAAACACATTCTTATGCATTAGTTGGAAAAAGTCAATGAAATTAATAAATTATTAATCTTTCAGCAACTTCATTTGGTATTGCTCTGCCATCTTGGATTGTTGAGAAAGAGAATTCTGTTTGGGTAATTTATTTTTGAATTCTTTCATAGATTTAAATAAGAAATTAATATTAAGGAAAAAAATCTTGCTTTTACAATATTGAATAATTAAAATTATTAATATTATTTTGTGCTTACTTTTGTCTTTTGTGTCAATACAATAATAAATTGTTTTAAAATATTTTAATAGGTTTTAGGATTGTATGCTTTAGTCTTTATGGTTGCTCTGCCTGTAGCAGTGGTATGTATTTATTAATATAGTTCTTTTTATAAATTAGCTTTTTAATTATTTTGTGTTTTTGGAGTCCCGTCTTAAATACGTTATTTGAATAAAAGTATTAGGATGCCCCAAAAATGTTGATTATTCTCTGCATAGTAGAGAAATGCCTTCAACATGCATAAAAGGCATGTTGAAAAAGCATACATTAAAAATAAGATGATAAACAAGCTGAGAGAATGGAATGGTTCATGCTGGGATACTAAATGACTTTCAGTGAAGAAGTTTTATAGACTGCCACCTTTCAGGCAGATCTGCTCAGCAAACCTATTGCAACTATCTAGATCAACTTTACAAAATGTTCTAATGAAATGGAAATGTTAGGATGTTTCAACAGTACTATGTCATGGTTTGGCAGACTACATACATTCAAGTATCTGGATGTTGCGTACTGATGTGTATAGTTCATAAAAACTCTGCAATACAAAAATTGATTGTAAAATTTAAAAATTTTTGGATATGTTATTAGTTCAAGGATATTCCACAGAGAATTGAAAAGTCATTGTTTTTCAGTCATATGCTATTTATAAGTAATTGTAAATAGCATCCAATATTAATACACGACTCTTTAGTGATGTAAGGCACATAACCACTGGATTGTAGGTTACTGGAAATGTTCTGTGAAGTGATAATCATACAGTATTCAGTACCCAAATGAAGAGTATGAGTGTAAAGAATGTCATGTGAAAATTTCCAGTGATCAGTTATCAAGTTTAGTAGTAGTGGAATTATGACATGATATATTTTTCAGGATTTGGCTTAATCTGCTTGTTCATTTGACTGGAGCACATAATGTGGAGGGATATTGTAACATTTTAGTTTTTGTACTTCTCATTTTATAATTATTTTGAAATAGACTATTTCTTTACCAATACAATCATGTTACTATTTATAAAGTACAGTGTGTTAAAAGATGGTTTGAAGGATAATGGCATTTAAGAACTGAACAACTCTAATTATTAAGAGAAAAAATATTTTCATAATTGAAAATCTAAACAATACAAACAATGTTCTAGTCCTTTAAATCTTGTTTAAATCCTTTTCACTTCATTCAGGAACTATAAACAGTAGGTGACTTGAAGCAATAAAAAAAAAAACTACTTAAAATTGACAGATAGACACTATTAAAAAAATTACACATTAAAAATGATTTTGTTGTCAACCTTCTGTTGTAAGCTTTGACGTCTACAAACATTAAAAAAATATTTTTAACAACAGCATCCATGTCACATAATTGCACTTAAACTGAATGTCCTCTGATGGATTTTTTTGGGCAAATCATTTAAGAAGTTTTTTTTTGCTTTAAATCACTTACTGTTTATAGTTCCTGAATGGAATGAAAAGGATTTAAAGGACTCAAATATTGTTTGTATTGTCTAGATTTTCAATTATAAAAATATTTTTTTCCAAATTAAAATAATCCTGTTATTACATATAATCTAATTATTAAATTAGCCTTATTTTAGCCAGATAATACAGATCATTTGGTATGATATTTCATTCTTCACCAGAGTTTACACAAATTAAGGACATATCAAATAGCCAGCTAAATTATTATTTGTGAAGTTTCTGCACATTATTGCAATAAAATAGAAAATATTTGAAAAACACAGAAAACAGAAATGATGAAATTATTAAAGCAGTACAATAATTGATCCTTGTCATAAGCTGTCAACAGGATATGGTTAGGATGACCAATGCTTAAAAAACTTCCAAACAGTACAGAATCCAAGCAACTGTTCATATGGATTTTTCTTTAGATGTTAAGAAGCTACTAGTAAATACAGTCATATGTCAGACAAAACACAAAACACAGCAGATTGTTAAAGATCAAAGTTTCATTTAGATCTACAACTCGCTAGTAAAGGATTAAAAAAAAATTTATTAGTATGTGGATCCATTAGACAACTTGATTTCAGTATAATTATTCATTTTAAATTAATATTGTTATATTCAATTATCAGAACATTAATAAAAATATTGTAATTTACTAACTTTAATGTTGATAAATGTAGATTGTATTCTTCACAATGATGATAAAGATACATATGATATAACAGATTAAACTTATTTTTATATTTAATTGTTTGCAGATATTAAATTATTTAATGTCATACAATATTGTTGAATATTTAATTATTCAAGTTTATGATTCTAAATATACAAGTATCTTGAGAATTTGAAGTAAATCTTTAAATTGTCAGGATTATAAAAAAATGATTTACATATAAAATGAATAAATTGATTTTAATTAATATTAAAATTTTTAATTCATTTGAAAGATTTAACATATATTAAAAAGTATTTGAAATTGTTTAGGGAATATGGTGGTATCGATCTGTAAAATTTGGTGGGGATCAAGTTTTATTGGATACTACACAACTTTATTATTATTTCATACATAAAACTCCTTACATGGTCCTTAAAAGTAAGTAACTATTTTCTTTTAAAAGTGAATTGTTTTTTAGATTTTTATGTAGATTTTATTAAACTTTTATGATTTTCTTTTTGGTAAATATATACATTATAGTTTATTGTTATAGTTCATTATATAAAAAACTGTGTTAATATAAACAGGTTGCATTCTTTTACTTTATCTAGGATAAAAATAAATTTGTGCAATGAAAATTTGATTATCAAACAGTCTTTTTAGATAGTAATATGTCAGAATATAGTTGACATGTGCATGGAGTTATATACCATATGTATATATACACAGTGTTTATATATACTGTGTATAAACATGAGTTTTTAATTACTTTTAAATTGTATTTGATAAATATCTTGGAATTATATCACTGTAACATTAGAAATTTAATATGAGAGATTTAAAACAGTTTATATGAACTGATACAATTTTATAAGTTAGCTTAATAGTAAGTTATATCTTACCTAATTTCAAAACAAAGCCAACAAAACTACATAATATTTTCTTGAAATATAACCAATTTGTTATACCACAATTGTTTTTAAAAAATTATCTGAAATCATATTTCATAAGAAAGCAATGTATGTGCAAAATAATATAATTATACATTGTGTGTGATTTTTATTTCAATCAATAGAAACCTTGATCTAAAATTTTTAAAATAATTACAAAATAAAAATTTATTGGATTTAATCTTGAATATAAGATATTTAATAAAAATTAATTTTGTAGGAGTGATAATGGTACTTGCTGCATCAATGGAATTTGAAAGGAGTCATAACAGTGAAATTATTGAAAGACCAAGTGATAATTTTGAAGTTCCACAGGTAATTTATAAACTTTTATGTTCTTCACACAATTTTATAAAATATGAATATATTTAAAATACTAAACTTTAGAATATTTTTTTTTTATAGCTTATCAAAGAGCTACCATTTTTAGGTGAAAAAAATAGAGAACGTCCTTTATGTTTTGGTTATAGTATCAAGGCCAGGGCATTGCTTCATGCTCATTTAAGTAGGATTAAATTACCACCTAATACATTGGATTTAGGTAAGTAAAATGAAACTATGATATTAACAAATTATTGCTAGATTTGAACAATATAAAAGTTTTGTGATGTTGGTTATTTAAAATATGCAAACATTCTTTGAACATATCAGTTTTGAATGCTCTATTTTCTAGATATTCATAAATATATGGATTTATTAATCTTGCATAAAGTACTGGTAGAGAAGATGAATGATTTCTAGCTTTTTATATAGTAGCATTAAAAAAATATTTTTTTTTTAAACATTATTACAAGTAAATTTGCAGTAACTAAATTAATGACTAATTTATGAAAATTGATATTTTCTAAAATACTCTTGTTTACAAAATGAAAAGAATAAACTTTAAAACTTGGCAATGACAATGTTTATTTACAGACTTCTGGATTGCCTCAATGAACTTTTTGATTTTACTGAATTATGAATTATTTATTAGTCTTCAATTTATTTAACCTGTGGAAAATGGCGGTTTTTTTCTTCTTCTTCTTTCTTCTTTTAATATATGCTCCAAATATAGTGCATATGAGAACATTTAAAACATGAGCTAATCTTGAATCAAATTCATTTTGTGTTGAATTATATATTAATATATTTAAGAATGCCACTCTAAAAAATGTATGTGTTAATCATCATTTATTTTTATTGTAAGAAATTGTACTCAGTCTATATATTTGATAATTTTTAATAGATTTGAATTTTGTCTGTCCATAACCTATAACACTTCTTATATATATAGCAAGTGTTCTGGAGGAACAAAATTATTTATTACTGTAATAATCATCCTTGAAATTGTGTTTTTATATTTTTATTCAAAATAATCTAATTGATTTATTGATTTTTTTAACAATATCAAACATAAATTTTAGGTGAAAGAATTGTTTGATATAAAGAATCAATAAATTCTGCTTTTGCAGTCTGTAGTAATATCCATTCTAACGTATGAATAACAATTATTATATACAACTTTAGTTGGAATTAGGAGATATGATATATTTGTAGTTTTAATTTTAATTTTTATCCAATGAAATTAAAACATTTATTAATCATTACTGTGAGATGTAACATTAAGATCCAAAATGTCAAGTTCTTGTAGAACAAATCAATTGATCTTATGTTATCTCTACATAAAAAAATTAATTATTTTATATTTAATTTATAAAAAAAAATCAAACTAAAAAGTTATTCAAATGTTAAGAAATATGTAACATTGTTATCACATATTGATTGAGGAAAATAATTCTGTTTCTTGTTAAATATTGATGAGTATAATAAAATACAGGTAGGCCTCCTACAATGTGGTACCTTTACAACGCGTTTTCGCTCCAATGCGGTTGGAAAATGTGGTAATTTTCTTACAACGCGGTTTACGGTATTTAGAAACGAATTATCTTTCACATAACAGAAAAATTGCAACAGATCATGTGATACAAACCGCAATTCGACATACAGAACTAAATGTCCTTGAAAACAGCTTTGTCGCTGTTGGTGTGTTATTTATTCCCTTGAAAGTTTCAGGGTAAGACCGGTTTCTAGCCAGATGTGCATCAGTTACAGTAAACACTCAAATATATCACTAAATTTTTCATCATTTATACTGTTTCAATAAGTGAGGACAGCAAAAATGGTCCAAAATACAATATAAACTTCTATTGGGTGTATATTTTTAACAACATAGTGAAGAAAGTTATTTTTTGCGATTTTTACTGTCCACAAAACTGATTGAAAAAATTTTAGCCATAACAATGCCAAATGAAAAGAAAATACCATCGTTAAAAAGGAAATTTATAACTCTTCAAAGATAGAAATTTTGGATTGAATTAAAAATCAAGAGCGGATAGCTGATATTAGTAGGCATTTTAATTTAAATGAGTTGACTATTCAGTCGATTAAGCAATCGGGAGAAAAGATTAGAAATTTGGTCGCATCTGGATCATCTATTCTTGCAATAAATGTTTGCTAGTCCGAGAGCACCTATAATGTAAAAAAATAGAACAAGCGCTAATATTATGGGTAGAAGATATGAACAAGAAACGGTTGCCTTTAAATAAAACTGCACTTAAACACAAAGCCTTAAAAATATTTGATNCTGTAATGATAGCGTCGAAACAATTATTAAATTTTCAAGTCAACTGTATGAATTATTCATTTTGTTTTTCATTTCAAAATTACTGTATTTCTATATAGTATTATGAGTTCAGGTGTTATTGTTTTATAAACAGTCACCGAGCAGAGTCGACAAAGAGGTATCAGATGGACACCTCGAATCGGACCTTTCCCGCGACCCGAAAAAGTTTCGTCTAGCACCTGGAGACAAAGGAGAGACCAATCGGGAAGCGAGCAATGGGACGAGTGACCAATCCGAAATTCGAATAGTGGGGGAAAAACTATAAAAATCGGAACTTCAAGGTCGAAGAGGAGTGTCCTCTGGATTAAGCCTACAGTTGTGCTTTGTCTATTGTGTTGTGCCACCGCCAATCACCTAGGACGCTGCAACTTAACACCGAACATCTGCATCGTCCAGCGATCCTTCTCGTCCGCCCGGACTAAGACCGATCACCCGAACTCTCACCGTTTCATAGGAACACCGAGATTTTGGAATTGTCCAATATCGATGTAAGCTTGAATTCGAACAAATAAACGGGTTTTCTCTTGTAAAACACTTGTTCTTCATTTGCCTCCTTCACCACCGCCCACAAACGCGGTTTCCCTCAGGCTCATTCTGACGCGAGATAATTTATAACTGTACTCCCCTTAACGTCGGCGACCTTAAACTACATTTACATGATAATGCTATTTGTATTATACTGGATCTTATTTTATTTATATTATGTTATCATTATATTTACATATAAGAAATATGAATTTAAAATCTTAATAAATATAAAATGTACTCCGAAGAGTATCGAATCACTTTTCGATATTTTAAAATAAGACACCAAGAAAGTCGATTTTGAAAGTCATCAATGAACTTTTCATTTGATTTTACGTATCTGGAAATTAGGCTCCAGTCTAAAACGTCTTGTAATTCACGTAAAGTTTGAATATTTAACTATTGATTCAAAACTTTATGTATTTAAAAAACAATTAAACCTTAATCGAGCCTTATCAAAGGCTAATTAAAGTCGCGATAAAATTTTTTCGCGCGGGCAAAAAACTTTGAAAAAATTTGAGGACTTAAAAAACATACCAAAAATTCAAAAAAAAAATTTCAAAACTCCCCTTAAGGACCGCGTTTTATGTAACGCTATGTAACTTGCCCGAGATATCTCGGGTTATGGGCTTAATTAATTAAAATTAATTAATTAATTAATTAATAATGAGATTAAAAAAACTGATATTAACCTATCAGTTTTTTTATCTCATTAGTATTAATTACTTCTGATGTTAATAATTTTAAAAAGATTGATGTTTAATATATACAATAATAAAAACAATAATTTCAGATCAATTTTTATAATGCAAATTGATGAATTGTTACTTTAAATGACATGCCACATTTAGTAATAAAAAAATGTATAATGTTCACGATAAACTGGTTTTCAATAAAACTTGTTTTTGTTAAGTAATAAAGTTTATTAATTATATTTTTTCCCAAGATTATTTACATATTAATACTGTAATGACCATACAAAAAAATTTTTGGGCCAATTCAGTCCCAATAGAATCTTTAATAGAAAAAGGATTGAATTGGCCTAAAAATTATTTTGTATGGTCATTAAAATGTTAATAAAGTTTATTAAATTCAAAAAGCAATATTAATTTTCTTTGGAAGAACGAAATGTTTCTTCATGGTGAAAAATATCATGTCACAGAAAATTAATATTATTTTTTAAATGAAACATTGTGTATGCATCTACTTTACACTTATTACAGATGTTATGCATATTATATTATATTGCTATTAATAAAGACATTGAAACTTTACTAACATTGTGTTTTGAAACTTTACTAACATGTTTAAAGCATATGTTGTATTGATGATTCAAAATGAATTGCACTTGGTTCTTCTAAATCATTACGTGATGAATATCTTTGATTTAATTTTTAAAAAGTTATTTTATAAATCAATATTTTTCTAATTGTTGTTTGTGAAATTTTCTAATTGTTGTTTGTGAAATTTTATAAAAATTTTGCTGTATTTATAAATTCTATGTACAGAAAGCTAGAACTTCTATATACAGTGGGTGATCAGTTAACGAACATAATCCGTTCCAAGACTTTGTATGCTATCCGAATTGTTCATTAACCAATTATCAATTTACCATAGGTTTTTATGGGAATTTGATTAATTCGTTCTGGAAACTCCAAAAAATAAAAAAATATATACTTTCTTACTATGTTTATTTATATGTAATAATAAAAATGCGTACATACATACAGTAGATCCCCCTATAAGACGGTAGATACGTTCCGTTCTTTATGAATCAATTTCGTAGGAATCACAGCCCGACACGTTTGAAGTTTACGGACTACGGCTGTTTGAAAGGTTTTCTTCCATAAAATTAATCAATTCTAGACTAATCCGACTCAACATTTCCAAAATACGTATATTTTTTTTGGAAATAATCCGTATAAACTACGCTATAAACAAAAAATTGTAGGATTACTTACCGAGTGTGCACCATTCGACATCGCCGTTGCTCAAGCTTGTTTTCGTCGCGGAACAGCTCAGCAAACCGCGGCCGCGATTTCTGATGTTATTTTTCTGCGAAAACTTCGCTGAACTTTGGAGACATCATTAATATAAATAATTTTTATGGCCGTTGAATAAGAAATGTTTCTTTCACAAGAAATATATAAAATTACAGCACTGTATTAGACTTACAGTACCTAATTTACATACTGTACAGACGATAGTTCGCCTAAACTCTTTGTAGCTGGCGCCAGGTGGCGGAAAGCATATATATAATTACAGTATAATAAAGTTACAATAAATTAAGTTAATATATAATTATATATACAGTACCTAATTTATATATAATTATATGAACAGTACCTAATTTATATATAATTATATGTACAGACGAAACTAAACTCAATTTACCCACCTAAACATCCGTAGCGTGGCGCTACAGACAACGGGAAAGTAGTTCGGCTGCCCGATGACGTTTTACGTAATTATAGAAGTCTTTTTACCGTTGTGTACGGATACCACCACAATTTTTTCGCCATCTTATAGGAATCGTAATTATAGGAACCAGTCTTATAGGGGGATCTACTGTATATATATGTATATACAGTCTTGCATTTTTATTAGTCATGCTTTTTCCATTTGTGGTGGGGTTAAATAATCTGTCTAATGTCAATTGCTTTTCTATCTTCTACAGGATTTTTTAGAAGTAATTAATAGCATTGTAATTGTAGAGATCTCCAAGCCTATTAACCTCAACCCAGTTTGGATGCCATTCTATGACCATTGTTCTGATATCCTCCCACTTCTTCAAAAGATCTTTAATAACAGATATTGTCATTAATTCTCTTTTTCAAAAGAAAGCATATGTTGCCGAGTTTCTTGTCATTCTTCTGTCATCAGATCTGTTTCAGGTTCAATTATGAGCTTTTCGATGTTCTTTATTTCTCAGATGTGATTTTTGTTACTCCTTTAGCTGCTTGAGTCTTCTTGATTATACTGTATTTTTCTTAGATAAGATTGAACTGCGGCCTACTGTAGACATGTTCAAGCCATACTGCCCAGCAATGTCAGACATTATCTGACCACCTTTGCTATTATACTCTCACCTTTCGAAAATAAAAACCAATGCAGAACTTAATGATTGCCTGACCGACAGACTTATTTTTATGATAGATTGTTTCTGTCAGAAAAATAAAAAGCTGGAATTACAAGGGAGAGTTTCAAAATTCGGAGGAATACTATCTGAATAGTACCAGGTTGAACGCCAATGTCGATGTCTCCCTCACACCGAAAAGTTTCAAATTGTTGCCTGAAGACAAGGGAAGACTGATCAGTATTCATTATTTTACATCACTTCTTCTGTGAGATGTTCGTTATCCGAACATGTATTTGTTGTCCGAACATAAAAATCTTTTGCGAAAGTATTCATTATCCGATTTGTTCGTTAACCGACCACTCACTGTATTAATTTCAAAACACCTTTTTCTCTATTTCTAGCAAATTTTTTAAATTAAATCAAACAGACTAACATTTTTGCTATCTTAAATGGCTTTCTTCAGGTTAAGTATAAGATATAGTTTAAGATAACCAAAAATGTTAGTCCATTTTATTTAATTAAAAAATTTGTAGAAAAAGAGAGGAAAACGTTTTGAAATTAATGTATTTATAAATTTTGTAATTTAAGAATTTACTTTTAAATGAATGTGTGTATATTCAATTAGAAGTTTAGACTATTTACAAAAATATAATTTTTGAGTCTATTAATCCATTAATACAACCACAGAAGTACCCGTAACATTGGTTTGAAGAAAAACTTCAATAAAAAAACAAATAATAAATAGGTAAAAACTCACAATATTAAAAAATGATCAAAACATCAGCCTTTTATTTGAGGTTCTGACATTTTTTACATTAAAAACAAGTAAGTCTTCTCACCATACTATTAAGTATTTATCCAATTTTATCAGGTTCTAGCCCTCTGGTGGTTGATATAAAAATTATATTTTTGTAAATACAGTAGAGCATCAATTATCCGACTCAGTTGGGAACTGGGGTTGGTCGGATAACTGAAAAAACAGATAACCGAAAAATATGAAAAAATACATTATTAGTATAGTATATTAGTATATCCCAGGTAATTAGTATATTAGTATATCGCTATTAACCTACTTCACGTTGAATTTTCATCGATGTTAAGCCTAACAAAATTTTTTATTAAATAATAATCATCGCTATTGTATTGTTAAAAATTAAAATTATTTTATTGCTCGCAAAACAAACAACCACTCCTAATTAGAAAATTAAGCCTCATTTAAATACTGGTCTCCCTTTCATGATTGAGTCAGTGTTGCCAGTAAAACACACAAAAATTTAATAAAAATAATAATAAAGTAGCCAAGACGTAGCCAAATATTGTAGCACCACATCACTAGCGGACATTTGAATTTGCCGACTAGAATGCAGTTGGTTAACCGGTGTGACAGTTGATCAGGGGTCGGATAATCAATGCTCTACTGTAGTTTGAACTTCTAATTAGAAGAAAAATATCCTGAGTTCACCATGAAATTGTGTGTATATATTTCAGATAGGCAGTATGTTATCAAAAAATGTCCATATCTTTTACAAGAATTTGTTCAGTGTGCTTCCCAACTTACAATGTTAGCTCTAGCTGGAAGAAGTAAGTTTACTTTTTTCATATTTTACATAAACATATAAAAATAAATGCATAAATTTCTGAAACCATTATACTTTACTATAAAATATTCTATATAGTAAATATTTTTTATTTACATATGAAAATGTACAAAATTAATATTTACTTACTTTTCCATTGAATGAAAGAATGTTTTATTCAAGGAAAGCAAATTAAATTTAAAATATTTTATAATATTTTAAATTTAATTTTTTTTACTATTATTTGGACAACATTACTTTCATTACAATGACTAGTTCTTATTCATAATTAAGTTTGATTTTACCTTGCGAAATAAACTTAATTATGAGTAAGAACTAGTCATAGTAATGAAATAGTCCAAATAATTTGTTTAAAAATAACTTATATTTTAGTTGAAATAATCACAAATTATTCAATTAAATATTAAAATTCCACATTATTGCACTTGCATATTATATATATATATATACACACAGATATTCATATTCATTCCATACTAATGTTCATTCCTTATGTAAAATTGACTTATAGAATAAAATAATAAAATATTTTTATTTTAAAATTCTTTTAAATTTTAAAAGTATTTCATAATTTTTATTAGATTACTAAAATATGTTTTTCTGTAACAGTTGCTAGAATGCCAAATTTAGATACCTTAGAAAATGCAATGAAGGTATGTTCTATGATTGTTCAAGCTCTTTGGGATAATAAAAGCCCATTATTGCAGCTACCTCATATCACTGAAGATATGCTTCGGCATTTTACTACTCGAAGAGTAAGTATCTATCAGAATATGAAATTGCATTTGTATTCTAAAATAATATTTTAAAATTTTAGTATTTAAATTCACATCATAAAAACTTATTCTGAAATTTTTTTTACATTAATTAAACGGCTAGTTTCAGTTCAGAAATGTATTTTTACAGAGAAAAAGTTTTTAGAGATGTTAAAAGATGTATAGAACTCATAACAAATAATGGGTGTTTATCAGAATACTAATATAATTCTGAATATCTTCAATGAAAATATCGTGTATAAAATATAGTTTATATAGATTGACACAGTCTATAAACTCTATATGTTAGTCTTGATCAGCTTAGTGGGATGTGATTGACTTTCATGAGTCAAAATTACCAATAATCTACTAACAATGTTTTTGTTCTTTTATATAAAGTTTATTAGCTTAATCTTATAAGATTAAGCTAACTATGTTGAAAAACAGTTATGTTTATTTCTTGCCTAATAATTGATGTTTTAGATTTTCTTTGGTAAATACACAAAGTATAAAATTAAACAGCATTAGCATTTATCATTCATCATTCACTAACCAAAAACAAATTTTACTTCCATTTATCATACAAATCATAAATTTCATTTCTCTGACATACACACTTTTCATGTAATTGAAATTATTTTGGTACAACAAAGTAATTTCTAAAAATAACAATGAAACTTAGATATAATTGAAGAGCGTGTTCCATTTTATTGTTTCTAGTTCAGTATCTGCATGTGTTAAAATGGAATGGAACATGCTCTTCAACTATATCTAAGTTTCATTGTTATTTTTAGAAATTACTTTGTTGTACCAAAATAATTTCAGTACTATACAGAATAGCAACAGTTAAGATTTTAAAGTGGAAAATATGGAATTTACAAATTTTTTCACTTTTAACAGGCCATATTATTGATTGACCAAAAATAATATAAGTGATTGACCAAAAATGATGCAGCAGTTGACTTATTGACCACACCTACTCTGCATAAATTCATGAAAATTACTATAGTAAATTGTTTCTACCAGTTACATCATTAAATATTTTGGCAGGGGTTTTTTCCCCTGCAATTTGAAAAAATTGTAATAATTATAAAAATTGTAACCTATAAATCCCACTGTTGCTCATGTTTTCTTAATCTCGAGAATAGAGTTAGATAGATGAAAGATGAGATCATATCCTGAAACTTTAGGGGAGGGAGGTCCTGATTAACTATATAAGAACTTCTGATACAAACCAGAAATCATATTATTTCAATTCAAAACTTTTCCCTTGAAAGCAGGTAATTGACCAGCATGACTCTGTTGTTAAAGGAAAAGTATGTTGTACAGGGGCAAGCCACTACTAATAATTTGAGGAGGAAAGCATATATTTTAAATTCAATAAATTAAAAATGTGATTAAAAATTGCAGCCCAACATTGTGACAATCTCACAATAAGTATAATATAAAAGTTGCTCATTATAATATACAAATATTTGTTGACTGAATTGATAATGCTATACTGAAATTTTATTATTATTTATCATATAAAAATTTCATGTATGATTGAATATGTAAATGCAATTTTTTTATAAGCCATAGCTTTAGATACTTATAATAATTAATATAAATAAGTAAACAGTGTTTGGAATTTATTGATTATGTTAATTTCTGTTTGCAAAATTTAGAGAAATATTCGAAGTATTCGTCAATTAGCATGTATGGAAAATATTGAAAGGAGAGCATTATTGAGGAGTTTAACAGATGATCAATATGAGGATGTTATGAATGTTTTAGCAGGTATTCCAGTAATTGATTTAGATGTCAGATCTGAAGGTAAGATATTCCACAATAAAATTATTCATTTATTTAAAATAATATATAATTTCTAAATCAGGAATTATTAAAATATAAATCATAAATTACCAGAGAATTTTAATAATTAAATTATTTCTATTAAATATTCAACAATAAACAATTTTAAAATGTGAATGAAGAAAGGTTTCGTTGGCAATTTTACTAATAAGAATTAATTCATAATGCCAACAATTTTACAATAACAATTTTAGCTATGTTAATTTCATAAATAATTTTTTTTACTCCTGGGCACCAAGAAAGGCCTTTTTATCAAGCCTGAAATAGATTCAACTAGGCTGGTTAATGGACAAGTGAATGGTTGAGGGACAAGAATAGCTCTTTCCCTGAAAAATTCCTGGGATCTTTTGACTTGTCCAGATTTATTTCTAGGTTTCCAGGGTGATAGGCTAAACTTTTGGCTAAACAGTCATCACTGACTAAAATGACTTCATGAATTACTGGATTTTTCAATTTATTTATAGTGATTGGACTATTAATTGGAATTGGTATCAAGAATTGAAAGAATTGAACATTTTTCAGTAATTGGATTTGAGAGAAATTTACCATGGTTTCTGATTCTTAAAAAGATTCTTTGACATTAGTAACAAAATTAATTTTTTGTTTTGGGTAATAATTAAAACTGTTTAAATTATGATTATTAACAGTTGTGTGAGCAGCTGGGGGCCAGGGGTTTTCTGTCCACTTATTCAGCATGAGTAGTTAAACCCAATCTCAATATCTAGGATGGTTTAAAAATTTAGATTAAGAGTTCTGTAGCTTAATCTACTCAGGACTGACACCAGTTAGGATAGAATTTAGTTTAATCTTGTGTCCTAACTCGTGATCAAAAACTTATATTAAAAATATCTATAATGGGGGCTTTACTCTACGAGTGGAGAAGTCCCTTGGGTAAGCGATAGAAATTCAATAAAACAAAAGAGACAGGTTGTTTACAAATAACAAAACTAATTTAATAAAACTATAAAAATGATTACATACTATAATAGTCATTTCCCTTGTATAATAATATATCAAAGTTGACAGTTCTAGATTGACCCTAATCCTAAGGTATTCTACCTTCTGAGTATGAGAGAGAGTTTACAAACAATTATCTTTTAAAACAAAATATCTTCATGATACTTATACTTGTATCCCATTCTGTGTATAGACATTGGTCTTTATTCTGTATAGGCTGCAGACAGTTCTAGGTTCCTTTTAGGCAGAAGTTATGTCCAGAGGATCTTATGGCACTAATCTAAGACATAGGAAGATACCTATGGTGCATTGTGCACTGTGCCTGGATTTTAGCGCCCATCTCCTATTTATACCGTAAATTTTCCCTAAATCTCCTCCAATGACGATCAAGATTAAAGATCATCTGACTGGGTGTGGTCGATGATTCTTTTGAGTTAGTCAGCCCTTTTAATCATGAGAGATAACAATCTCTCCCAGGAACTGACTGTCAACAGGAAACTTGTGTTCCTTGTTCTCCTCAATATTTTTGTTAAACTTTATAAAATATTTAAAAATTATATTAAATTTTAAAATAATTTAGCTTATTAAAATCTCGAATCTCACACATATATTATTATACTGTAAAGTTTCATTTACTTTGTTAAACATAAAGAATAAATAATGTATAATTTTGCTTAATGCATTAATTGCATTGCTAATTGATACATTGTGCAAAATTTAAACAGTTGCACTCCATGTGTCATGAAAACCTGAAACTATTGTAAGAAATACAGATTATCAGAACTAACGAGTAACCAGTGTTGTCAGGTTTGGCATAAATTAACTTGATCTCTCTGTTAATGTATTGTACTATCAGCAATAGTAACAATTAGATCTATAGTACAGTTTTGCCCAAACTGCTTCAAAATTTTAATATTGATGTGTTTTTACTATGCTTAGCATATTTAATATATCCATGTACAGCCTGTTTTCAAAATTATAAACACGCCCAACTTTTTTCAATAACAAAAATATTAATGATAGTAATGTATTTATTATATTAGTATGTTGTTTACAACATCAATTTAAACATTCTCTGAAATTTTTAGAGCATTCTGACAATTATAAAATTATCACAGATTTTCAATTTTTGATTATTTCAAAAGTATAAACATATGTGCACAAAAAAACGATTGTGATGTTTCAATATTTTGAAGGTCTACCATTTGATTTAATTAATTCAAATACTTTATCAGGCATAAATTTTACTATTTTTTGAAGTTGTTCTGTTTAATATTTTCCCAACAATCCATGATAGCTAATTTCAGTTCGTTTACCATATTGTATTGTCTGTTTTGGCCATAAACAAGATGATTTATAATGCCCAAACATTCTCTGTCGTGTTCATATCGGGGCTCCATGATGACCAATCAATTACATTAATTTTTTTTTTTTCAGCAAACCAATATTTAGTCAACTTTGATGCGTGAATGACAGCGTTATCCTGTTGGAATTGCCAGTTTTCTCCCCAATAAGTGATCAAAAAGTTATTAAACTTTGAAACAACAGTTCTTGATACTTTTCTGAATTCATTCTACCTTCTATAAATATAATTTCTGTTTTAACTCCCCCATCCAAATCCTGGCCACACCATCACCGAGTCTCACCTTGCTGTCTGCTCATTCTGACTTCTTTGTTCTTTCTCAAATCATACCAGTAGTGACTATAACTGTCATGTCCATCCAAATTCCATTGTTTTTTTCTTCTAAAAAAGACTATTTGTTTCCACTGCTCTTTCATTGTCATCTTGTCTTTTGTCCACTTTAATCTAGCTGTTATGTGCAATTGTGTTAATTTTGGTTTGGCAGCCATTTTTGTAAATTTGGCATTTTTATGATTATGCATACATCTCCATAAAGTTGTTGGTGAAACTGCAATTGACAACTGATTCTCTGACAGACAACTTGTTGACCGTCAGTAGCCAAAAAACATTTCTTTCATTTCTAGGTGTAATTAGTTTAGGCCTTCCACATAGCATATTTCTGCCATAATTTTCATCCTGAGTTAACATATTTCCACAGCACATGTAGATCGATTTACAGCTGCCAAAATTTGTCTTAGAGATTGTCCTGCTCCTTTTAGTTGGTAAATTTCACATATTTTTAACACTGTTAGTGTTTTTCCATGAGGCATTGTTTTAAATAAAAAAAAATCTGTTTAAAATTGGCATCACATTTGTAATAATGAATGATACTACTCTCTGGTGACAACTAATTAAACCAATAATTAATAAAAAAAAAAATAATTATACTAATTTTATGCACCTGTGTTTATACTTTTGAAACAATCAAAAATTGAAAATATGTGATAATGTTTTTTGTAAATGTCAGATAGCTCTAAACATTTCAGAAAATGTTTAAATTGATGTTGTAAACAACATACTAATGTAATAAATACATTACTATTGTTAATGTTTTTGCTATTGAAAAAAGTTGGGTGTGTTTATAATTTTGAAACAGACTATGTCCAACTATATTTTTGAAAAGAATCAGAATAGAGTATTATGTCAGAAGTGAGTCTTTTCAGTGGAATTGGCATCAGTATTGGAATCATTAGAAATTTTAGTATTGTCCCATTACTATTTATATATATGTTAAGCACCAAATGCCTCAATAATATTAATAGCATGGTTTACATGGAGAATGAATATAATTTTATTTGCCAACTAAAGTAATACTAATAATTCATCATTGATTTACAAATTGAAATTTCACATGAAAAAAGAATTATCTATTCCCTGGTATTCCCGACATATCTTGGATCGCAACCTAATGGCCTTGACCTGTGGAACTGAGATATCTCATTTCAGAATGTTTTTGAAACTAGATGCCACTAATCATTATAATTTTTATATTAAAACTAACTTCCAAAATATAACTTTTTTTGTTTTTACATTTATTAATATGTCTATCTTGTTTGTGCAAAATAAAAAATAATTTCAGATGATACAATAGCCACAATTATTTTTTCAAAAACGTGTAATTTTCATTAGGCTTAACATTGACAAAAATTCACCATGGCACAACACTCAATGGAGAAAAATTTCAACGTGGGATAGGTTAAAATTATCAAAAATTGCAAGAATTGTGATAATAAATTTAATTCCATTTGAAGCTTTATTTAGTATTTTGGTTTGAAAAGTTCATTCTGTATCCTTGTAAAAGAGATTATTTCAAGAGCTTGATCTCAGAAGTGACTCAACTGAAGTTTTTTAAGTTGACATAAGTGTTTATAAAAGTAAGCATTTTCCATGTTAAATTTACCTGCAAGAAAATGAATATGATTCTTGTTGAAATTGAAATTCTCTTTTTCTAATTGTTTAGATCAGTGGAGACCAATGGGCTCAATCCAGCCCATAGCAGGCATTAATCTGGCCTGTAAGCATACTTGACAAATCACTTAGGGTCCATTTAAACATTATATCAATAGTTTATGAGAAGATTTTTTTGTATCTGATAATTGTTGACAGTGGGGGAGGGTGAGTCTTTGATGACTTAAGATTGGGAAGAAATATAGTCAACATACAATCATTGCAAAATTGTCTAAAAATAATTTCTGTGTATTTGTGAATTGTTTAAATGTCTGGGCTGATGACATAATTAAGGGGAGAGGGATATCTTGATTTCTGATGACTGGTGGTGATGTAGAAAAGGGATCAAAACTGCAAATTTTTGCTGATGTAATACTTGAATGTTCCCTTTTAAATGATAGAAATGGCCTTCATTTTGTATATACAGAATATACAAAATATTTGCAGTCTGCCTGCATACAACTTGTATGTAGGCAGACTGCAAATATTTGGTTGTGCAATTTGGCCTGCCAATTGATTTGGGCATCACTGGTTTAGGTTATAGGAATAAATTCATCTCTTGACAGTTCAATAAAACATTATTAAAACTGATGATAATTCTAATATAATTCTATTCTAAAAACTAGTTCAGGACCTACAAGAGTTAAAAATATCCTATTTAATTAATAGATTAGCATGAGAACTATTCTGCATGCCTTTATGGCTCAATGCCTACAAAAGGAAAATGATGTGAGCAGACAATTCAGAAAGACATGCAAAGCATATCCACACTGGAAAGAGTTAAATATTTTCAATGAATTTGACTGACAAAAATAATTTATATAATTACATTAGAAAGAATCCCAAAAACTGATATGATTGTATTAAGAAAATTGAAATTTAAAAAAAAAAAATGAAAAAAAGTGACTTACTATAAATTTTTCTGTTCTTTAAAGATTCTTTTCATAATTGATAAATGTTCATTCTATTATTATAAATTGACTTTTGATGTATTTTTCTGTTGTATTCTAAATCCTAATCCAAGAAAAAGTTATAACTGAAGATAACAAGAATTACAATTTCAGTATTTTAAGAAATTTATTAATTTGCATATTGTTGCATATTTATAGCTTAAAACATTTTCTTTTGTATCAATTACAAATATGTTTTTAAAATAAGTAATAATTAATAACAACTATTTTTCATATTATAAATTTATAATAATATGAAAACCCTGTTAATACAAAGTTGAAGGAACTTAAAAAATTAGCATTTTGTATTAATTGACATTGAAATGTGTGTCCCCCCTCATATATGGGTTCATAAATCTTTTTTGCATTAACTCAGACTTTGAATAAACCAATAATATAGTAACAGGGTGTGACTGTGTGAATAATTTGCTTATTATTAATTATATTTATTCTAATTTATTATCCAGTTCTGTGAAATTCATTTTAATAATTACAAATAAATAATTTCATTTATAAATATAGCAATAATTTTTTTCAATTATAATTTAAATTATTTGGTTTGTAAGTGAAATTATTATTTAGCAGTTGATACTCTCTTAATCTCTTGATTATTGTATGACCCAAATTTAAGAGTACTTGATATACTAGAATTCAATACAATGAGATGTTTTATTTCTTTCTAATTTATAAGATGAAATACTTGATACAATGAGTGCTGATCAATAAATTATTTACAAAGAACCAAAATATTCTAATCACAAGTGCTATGAGATTGAGTTTTGCATGCTCTGTTTATATGGCTTGTAAAATCTTGTCTCTATTTGCTAGTAAGTGCTGTTAATTCTGATGCATTTGCTGAGTTCAGTAAACTCTATTTCTTCATTTCAGATCTTTTGGCAATTACAATTTCTTTAATTAAAAAATAAAATTATTTTTTAATTAAAGAAATGTTTACTCTATTCTACTTCTCTGTATTGTCTTGACTAACTTTTGTTTTTTTAAATAAATATCCAATAACTTGTGTTTGCTGTTTTGCTTCTTTTATGTCATGTTAATTGCATTTATATCAGCAAATAACCTAATTAACACTTTTAATTAACATTTAATTACATATTTTGTAACATTTAATCTTATTTGGAGAACATGGGTAGCGCATGATGACTGAGTTATGTCAGAATAAGATAAAAATGTAAATTGAAAACATAATGGAAAGTTTGCTCCTATTTGAGATTTCATTTCATATTTACAAGAGGTTTTTGGGAATAATATACACTCATAAATTGAGGTTACACTACATTTGAAATTAACTGTAGTATAATATGATAATATATATATTATTTATCTTAGTTTTGGATGATGAAGATTCCTGTACCATCACTGCTGGTGCTATGGTTACAGTGACAGTTACATTGACTCGTCGAAATATGTCTACTATTTTTGATCAAGAACAAAATAATCAAGAACCAGAAATAGATGAACCAGTAGAAGAAAATGAAGTAGATGTCATTTTTATTAAATTGTTTTTTATACTTCAAATAACTTAAATTATTCAAATTTTTTAATAGAATCAGCAACAAAATGTAATAGAACATTCTCCTCACACACGGAAACCAAAAATTTGGGAAAAACAAAAGAAAAAGAGAGGTGCTCCTGGAAGAGGTGGTAAAAACAAAAAGAAGCCTTCTGCAAAGCCTTCCTCAAATTCTGCATCAAAAAAGATGGCATCTCAACAACAGCAAACTAATTCTGATAATAAATCTTCAACAAAGGTAATTAGCTATTTACCATAATAGAGAATAATTAAAAATAACATTTAATATGGAATATTTATTACTTATTCTTTTCACTAGATATTACACTGTTTTATATCATTGATGAAATGAATTTAACAGAATAATTTTTTACATAAAAAAAATATTTATTCTAGCATAATGAAGAAAAAACAAGAATTAGGGATTCAGAAGAAAGTGGTGAATCCGATTCTGAATCTGATGCTGGTAGTAGTCATTCTGGATCGACGGGTGATCATGATGATGCTAGTGAAGAAATAGGATCTAATAACAGAGATCGTCAAGATAAAGGAAACGAAGAAGAAGATGAAGAATGGGAAAAATTTCAACAGAAAATGGCAAAGAAAGAGAAAGTATTAGAAACTAAATCAAAGAAATCTCATAGTGTTCACTGTCCATTTTTTCCAGAGGTTAGTCTGTTTTTATTAAATTTAAATTACAATGCAATAAGTCATTAAGTCCATGTTATTAGCATATTATGAAAGTTATTTCACTTATTTTATAAATGCAACTCAATTAATATAATTTACTTCTATTTATAGTTATCATAAATAGAGTTAATATTATATAATGAAACATATAAAGCAAAAATATATGTAGTTTACTGTACTTTCAGTTCTGTCAGTCCCTTTCTGATTTTTTTGTGTGTTCATTTTTTAATGTATAGGTGCTCCCCTACTTATGACCTGGTTAGATTCTTGCGGCTTTGTTGTAAGTTGAAAACTAACTTAGAAAGTACATTTGTACACAGAATAATCTGTATGATTGTAGTAATTCTAAATTTAATATAGTCTGGAAGGAGGAAAAACCAGAGTTCTGGATAGCATAATTGGCAATGGATCTGCCTAGTCTGCAGAAGATGATGCACTGTTCCAGGTTGTTCTTTTCCATAATTGTCTGAAGTATTCATTCAAAATCAACTTGAAACAATATTAATAACTTTAATTTAAAATGGCAGCGTATAACTATCTACCTTTAGGCCAAATTCTCTAGATTGATTACTCTTTATTATAGCCCAGAAATAGCTCTTAATATGACTCAAATGAATAGGATTCAAAAGCATTAAGTTTAAGAAAATCATTAAATTATTTATTTATACATACATTTATAAACAACCAAACTGATAAAGTTTCAAACAAAACTTAAATCATTATTGGGTTATTTACTAATCTTACAATAGCCAAATAATAATTTGGTAGATCCTCAGTTAATATTGTTCCGGAATTAGCACAGTAGAATCAGGACCTTCATCACAAAAATGAACTTTACATTTCTGTGTGCATATGTTTGTGTGTTATTTAACATATATTATTATCCAAATTAATATAAAAATAACTTAAAATTAAAGTAAAATCTGTTTATTTTGGTTTGTGTGCGCCCTTTTCTTTATTAACAGGTAGGCCTCCTACAACGCGTTTTCGCTCCAATGCAGTTGGAAAAATGCAGAAATTTTCTTACAATGCTGTTTACGGTATTTAGAAACAAATTATCTTTTACAGAAAAATCTCAACAGATCATGTGATACGAGCCACAGTTCGGCATATAGAGCTAAATGTCCTTGAAAACACTGTCCATGTTGGGGTGTTTTTCTTTTGAAAGTTTCAGGGGAAGACCGGTTTCTGGACAGATGTGCATCAGTTTTAGTAAACACTCAAATATATCACTAAATTTTTGATCATTTATACTCTTTCAATAAGTGGGGCCCGCAAATAATAGTCCAAAATACAGTATAAACTTCTATTGGGTGTATATTTTTAACAACATAGTGAAGGAAAGTTATTTTTTGTGATTTTTATTGTCCACAAAACTGATTGAAAAAATTTTAGCCATAACAATGCCAAATGAAAAGAAAGGACCATCGTTAAAAAGGAAATTTATAACTCTTCAAACAAAGATAGAAATTTTGGATCAAATTAAAAATCAAGAGTGGATAGCTGATATTAGTAGGCATTTTAATTTAAATGAGTCGACTATTAGGTTGATTAAGCAATTGGGAGAAATGATTAGGAATTCGGTCGCATCCGGATCATCTATTGTTGCGAAAAATGTTGCTCGTCTGAGAGCACCTATAATGGAAAAAAATGGAACAATTGCTAATATTATGGGTAGAAGATATGAACAAGAAACGGTTGCCTTTAAATAAAACTGCACTTAAACACAAAGCCTTAAAAATATTTGATTATTTAAAACAAATGGGACAGTTGTCAGCTGATGAAACCAGTGTTAAATTCATGGCTAGCAATGGCTGGTTTGAAAAATTCAAAAAATGCCATTCAAACACCAAGTTTTTCTCATTTTAGAACCGAATCCCAGTTTTTGTATTAAGTTGGTGTCCCCTTAACACAATTTCCCACAATGCAGTATTTCCAAGGAATGTATCTACCGTGTTGTAGGAGGCCTACCTGTACTTTATATTAAAATGACCTCATTTAACGCTGTTTTGTTTATCACTTTGTCATCTAGGAACGCATCCCCTGCATTAAGTGTGGTCTTACTGTAATAAAGGTTATTAATAAATATGTGATGGTTTGTTTATTTATTAATTTTCATGATTATGGTCTTATTGAATAATGTGTTTTGATAATTAATAAGAACTTTGCACTCACTATTATAATAATTTTATATTATGAGGCATTTAAAGAATTGTATTTGTTAGTTTCAGTAATTGAACTTTTCATTTTTAAATGAAAATAAAATGTATTTAAGTAGACATTAATGATGATTTTAATATTTGAATTTAATAGGACAAACAAGAGTATTGGTGGGTTTATATAGCAGATAAGAAGAGACATTCATTGATTACCGTCCCATATTTAATGACCAACTTGGTAGAAAAGGAAGAAGTAAGCTTTATTAATTATTATTATTTTTATTTTTTTTTTTTAAACTTTTGCTTAATCAAAATTGATTTATAAATTCTGGACAACTGGATGGCTGACATAGTTATGGTACTGACTGGCCTAGTGCTCTGAAGAAGCACTAGACCAATACCTTAACCCTAACCAAAAAATTTTGGTTAGTGTGGCCCAGGAATTTTTTGTGGTTAATCTAGCTCAGATGTGTCAAATGCTGTCTCTCATCATTAGGCTGCCCCCATTATGGGTTTGACCAGATCAACAATGAATATTGAAAAAAGCCCTTTTAGTGGCCACAGCAGTGCTAAATTCTGATTTTAAATAATCATTTTAGTTAATGTTTAGAATTTAATAATTTACAGTATATTAAAAGATTAATTTAAGCAGTATAAATGCTTATCTACATAGATATAATGTAAAACTTGTTACTTTTTCTGTTGTACTGTCAATTGTAATTAAATTTTAACTTTTCCAGTTTATATTAAAATCTTTAAGTGACAGAAAAATTTAAGTTTCCTCTAAATTAAAATAATAATACATTTTTTTTTTTCAATTTTAAGTTTTATTTTGTTTATAATCAAATTTTGACCAGCATTAAAATGTATAATCAAATTTTGACCAGCATTATCATAATTAAAATAACCATATTCAAAATCATATGCATTTTTTCTAAGAAAATACTCTGGTTAATAATAGCATCACTTTAGCAATATGATTATTTCAGAGGGAATTTGCTACCTTGAATAGAATGAAATGGAGTGAGAAATTGTAACAATTGTATTTGAATAGTTTTAACAATGATATCAAGCTGTACATGCTCAGATTTAGTGGATGAAGGTAATAGGTGAATGTTGTGTATTTCTAGTATGCACATTTTCTCAAAGAAAAATGCTCAAAAGTTATGAAAAGTAATTTTTATATTTTTACTATAGGAGGTGAGGCAATTTGCTTATGATTTTGTACATTCATATTAATATTTTATTCTCGGGTAATACAGCTGTTTTTGTCTCGGATTTTCCAAACTACAAATCAAAATCTATTGTAGATAGATTTGGATAATTTGGAAAATAAAAATTTACATGCATATTATGTAAATTTTTATTTTTATAAAATATAATACTTTTATAGTGTCACTTTACAGTAAATGGTAGTAGTTTTAGCGTACCTAATAATTATCTGCTTTAACTTTGAAAAAACTGATATTTCATAACTGTAGTTATATGGTAATAATTTTTTTTAAGTTAAATGTAAAAATTGCAATCAGAACAATTAAATTATTTTCAGTAGAAATTATAACAACTAGCTGAAGTTGTGTTTCAGCTATGTTTTAAACCAAACAAACATTCATTCTATGTTGTTTGCAATAATTCCACAACAGATTTAGATTTCCTGAATTAGTAAATCAAAAACAGCTGCATTACCTGATGATAAAATATTAATATGAATGTACAAAATCATAAGCAAAATCATAAGTCTTTATATAATAAAAATGAAAGTTTATTTTTTTTAACATTTACAACATTTATCCATTACTTTTGCTTTCAACCACTATATCTAGACACATACAACTTAACATCATTGTTAAACTTATCCATAGCATAATTTTTACAGATAATTGATCCCTAATGTTTTTCTTTATACCCATTCCAAGTCATATTTGCAGATAATGAATGTGCAATGATGTCTTTTAATGAGCAATTGCCATATATTCTCAAAAGAACAATTGATAAGTTTGAGAAAACAAGATGTTTAACAGTGAGATCAAGAAAATGCAAACCAATTTATTGAGAACCAGTTGAAGACATTGCAATCAATTCTATATATTTTTATATTATAATATAAAAATATATAGAATTGATTGACTTTTTTTAACTTTGGACATCAAACTCGTATTATGATGATGACTTGTTTATAACACATATACAATGTCTTATTTATTCTATTTATATTTATTATAGTATAACTAGTCACAACTATTTTAAAAAATATATTTGTTTCAATATTTAACATTTTTTTTAATATTAAAATCTATATCTGAGATAAAGCATCTTGGCATCAAAAACATTAATGCAAAATAAATCATACTTCTTCAATGTATTAAAATATATTATGTTGTATGTAAATGTTTAAATTTCAGAAATTTAAATTTAAATCCACATTTTATAATCTAAAGCAGGGGTGTCCAACCTTTTTGTTTCACTGGGATGCATTGGAAGAAGTCAAGGAGTTTTGGGCCACAAGTTTATATAAAATATACTTGTGGCCCAAAACTAATATACAAGTATATTTAAAGATTAACATGTCTAGATTATAATAATAAATATTAAAACTTTATCACCAAAAAGGATTTTAAAAAATTCCTTCTACAGACACTTTCAATTTTTACTTAGAAACAGATAAATTCATTTATTATAAAAGGGACAAACAAAAATTTATTTGAAAAACACAAATGTTTGTTTTATTTGTGTCTCTAATTAATAAAAAGTGACAAAAATTTTAAAGTGCATTTTTTATTCAAGTAATATACAGTGGTACCTCGGTATACGTCTGCTTTAGAATACGTCCAATTCGGAATACGTCCTGTTTGAACGAAACAAATTTTGCTCGGTATACAACTTTTCTTCGGTATACAACATAATTCAATTATATGCGCCATCAATGAACAAGTAGCACTATCAGTGTACTAGACCAGACTAGACGTTCGCGGTGCAACGGTTTATAACTTTGTTAATTTTTTTCTGATTTTAATTCGTAAGTAAAATATTATTACTTTTATTAATAACGAATCGCAAAAAGGCAAATGAAAAGCGACAGAAAACTAAAAAAATGACTAGAATTACAATGGAACTGATGAAAGAGATTGTTGAGAAATATAAAGGTGGCATGCGTGTTCAAGATTTAACTGTTGCATACCGTATTCTGAGAACGACGATATGGACAATCGCGAAAAATAAAGACATTATTAAATCTGCTAACGCTACGAAAGGGGTTAAATCAATTTCTAAACAGGGATTGAAGACATTAGATCATGTCGAAAAATTGCTTTTGCTTTGGATAACTTTAAAACAGTGCTGGAGACAGCGTATCGGAAGCAATTATTTGCGAGAAAGCTAAAAAGATACACGCTGATCTCACAAAAATCAAGCAGGAACTAGCCAGGAAAGCGAGGTGTTTAATGATTAATCCGTTCTCGTGTAAAATTTTTTTTACACGAGAACGGATTAATCATTTTTACATTACTTCTTATGGGAAAGTTTGATTTGGTATACGTCCAATTCGGTATAAGTCCAAACATCGGGAATGGATTAAGGTCGTATACCGAGGTTCCACTGTATTTATAAATAATATGTAGCTCAAAAAGTAGCCAAAGCACCAAATGATATGTTTTACGTCAAACAAAAAAGTAGCCACATTTGGCGCAATGTAGCCAAATCTTGCAATGTTGGAAGAAATACTAAATAAAGCTGGAGTTGTGATTCAAAGAATTATAGACCCAAATGAGGGAGAAAGGAGAGAAAGGACAAAAGATAAAGAAGTGAGAGAGGTTGAAAAATTAAGGCTCAATATTTGCATAACAGAAGATCTATTTAACCTTTCTCACTACTATTATCTTTTGTCCATTCTCATCTTTCCCTCCTTTTCCCAAATTTGGGTCTATAATCCTTTGTGCCACAACTCCAGCTTTATTTAGTAATCCTTCCTCATTCACACATCTCCATGTATTTGAAAATATTTCCTTTCCACTCAAAAATAAAATATGAATAAAGGTTTACGGCTTTGTGAAACTTCTTTTTTACATTTATGCAGTTGAAATAAATAATAATAAAATTAAAACATTTGTCGATTTGTTTACACGTTTATTGGGCCGCATTGGAACTTGCCTTGGGCCGCAGGTTGGATACCCCTGATCTAAAGTATTATTTTTTTTCTTTGCAGGTAGAATTAAAATTCACGGCTCCAGCAAAACCAGGAATTTACCCTTATTCTGTTATTGTCCGAAGTGATTCTTATTTGGACTTTGATGTAACAAAAGTTATTAAGGTATTTTAATTTAAACCTTTAAATAAATACTTAATTCTTAAAATAACTCATTTAAACCTATGATAGATTAATTTTGAAGACTAACTAATATAATTATAATTATTTTTTTATTTTTGTGACAGAAAAAAGTGTCATGACAATTTTAAGCTAATTATTTTATATATTTAGTAATATATAATAGATAAAAAAATTACAACAATACAAAATAAAAGCAATTAAAAAATTTTTATTCATTGAATTATAAAGTAGACTTAACATTTAATAATTAACACTTTTATTATGTAACAGTTGGATGTAAAGGAGGCAAAAGAAGTTGATTTGAATGAAGTGCAATGGGATATTTCAGAAGAGGAGGAAGATAAAGAACAAGAAGAAAGTGCAGTAGAAGATTCAGATTTGGCTACTGATGACGATGATTTTGACGAAGACTAGAGAGAGAATATTGTTTGCAGCACTATTTACAAAGAATTTTTTGTATGGACAATTGTCAAAGTATGTTTTATTTTCAGGCATTATTTAAACTTTTCAAAATGTAGTAGGAAGAAATGTGTAAGAAGAATATTTTATATTTAATTATTTAATCTGTTCAAAGATTAACATTCGATAAAATTCACATCCAAAAAACAAGAAAGACGTATTTTTTTGCAACTAATGAACTAAAGACTTCAAATTCGAACCTTGACGCTACAATCAGTGTAGCCAATCTATGCCTCTATTTTCTGAGGTTATTTTAACACACAAAACTTGTCAGAGACATTCAAATTGTTTTCAACTTAAAAATAAAAAAGATTAAATTAATTCCTCGAATGACACATTGGGTTGGGTTCGTATTTCTCCATATGCAGTTTCTATTGCGTTATCATTCCAAATATCCAAAGACGTACGTGTAATTAGTATTTTTAATTATATGCTTTGTCAATGTAATCTAGTCTGCTAAAACTGTTGTGTTACTTTCTCATCTCAGAACTCAAATTTAGAGTATAATCAATTTAACCCCACAGTTTTTTTTTTTCATATTCTAAAAAAAAAAAAAAAAAAAAAAATTTTTTTTTGGGGTTTTTCTTTTTTTTGGCTAAAGAGGAAGAGGTAGAATTATGAAAATATATCAGCAAATAATAAATATATATGTATATACATAGCTCAAAATTTACATGAAATTTCATTTAAAATTCAATCCATAAGATGATTATTACTTCAGTGTAATTATAATTTTTGTAATTATGAAAATATCAAAAAATTTATGAAAATGCATTGAATTTGAATTTAATTCATTCATTATTGTTTACTTTTAGATAAAAATGAATTTTTTTAATGCATTTATATATGTATATATGTATTTTTTTTATTCATTACTAATTTAGTATCTATTCCTTCATTCTTTTTTTTGGCTAAAGAGGTAGAATTATGAAAATATATCAGCAAATACAACTAAAAATTTTTAATATACAGGATGATAATAATAATAATAATATGATGATGATGATAATAATAATAATAATAAAAGTGTGTGATGTATTTTTATACTATTACAAATCCAACTTTTCGAAATGTTGGGTAAATGTATTTGTGGTTTCTGCTACAGTTTTAAATGATAAATAGGGGAATATTATAATAGTAAATCTTTGGAAGGTATTAAATTTGTAGATAAATTCAAAAAAAAAGTGTTATTTGCCCATTCTACATTTGTGAAATCTGTATTTAAAAAAAATGAAAAAAACAAAAGATAATGAGAGAAAAAATAAAATCATCTGAAGATTTTGCATATTTGGAAGTGTATTATTTAATATGTATTATTTTTTAAAATAATTGTTAACAAATATAAAAAGTTTATAACATTTTTTAAAGGTATTTCTATTATAACATGATTTCTAAATATACACAGTGCCCCAAAAGAATTAAGTCAACCAAGGTATTTATTAAGATTATTTTGGCAATTGTTAAAACTCATTTGTAGCAATTCCATGTTGTTTACAACAGCCACCTAGATGCTCAAAGCAATTAAAGTATCAGTCTATTGCTCTGGGAATTTGGAATTGAATGTGAACAAGCAGTTCTTGAGGAATTTTTCCAAGAGATGCTGTGATTCAGATATGTCAAGACCTTGTTCCTTACCACTTGACTACCCACTATAGATATGGAAAAAAGCCCTCTTAGTGCCCAGGGCAGAAAGAACAAAAATAAAGATTTCACTTCAGAGGCAACTGAAACACAAAAAAAACAACATGCAGCTGCTCTGAGCTAGTTTTAATGGTTCTTACAAGTTTATAAAATATGTCTCAGTAACTCAAAAGCTTCTGAAATATAAATCTAATTCAAAGAAATTTAAAAACTTGAAAGTGCAAATGTTTATGGACTTTGCAAATGTAAGTTAATAAAAGAAAGACCAAGAGAAAATGACTGGTGCCAGAGTAGCCTGGCTTTTTTTTTCTCTAGGATGTTTGATGCAGTTTCTCTCAATTTTTCTCTATTGCCAATTCTCAACAGTTTCAGTTTTCTAAAAAGTTTTTTTCTGAAGAAAAACTTTTGAATTGTATTTATTACATTAGGTGAATTTAAGAAGATTAAATTATGTCGATGAATATATTAAAATTATTTTAAAATTTGTATTGATAAAAAATTTTTATTGTATCTTTGTAGAAGACAAAATGCAAGGTTCACGAATGTAGAAATGTCGCTAATTTCCCTTTGCAACTTTTAATCATTTCAAAATCAGTACAGAAAGACAATGAATCTTTTGTAATGAAATAATTTTTATTTGAGAAACAGTGGCTTTTTTAATCATAATTAACACAATATCCTACCAGTGTTGTGCAGTCCTATATTGTTGAAATTACATATTCTAGATATTTCAATGTGTTCTAATGCTAGGCTCAGAATATTTTGTAATACAAACAATTGAGTCTTGTGATAAAACAGTTAACTAACTTTTAGAATTTATTTTTAAAAAATTATTTATTCAGAAAAATTGATTTTTCTGAATAAATATTCTGAAACAACCATTTTACTTTTGAACACAAAATTTTGATATAGTTGATGACATGCTTTATTATTTACAGAAATTAGAGTTCATTTTCATTTAAGTTTGTTATTGAAATTCATAAAATACTTTTTTAGAATTAATTCTTTGATTTAATTTTTCAAAAATTAACTATAATGTACTTCCATTACTTTGTGAGTAAGAGTTATCAATTTTCACAATTAAGATGTAGAAAATTGAAAAGTCATCCATCATTTTTAAAACTGACAGGTCTCATGGGGACTCACTATTTTTCAGATTGCTCATTATTCACTACTATTTTTATCTAAACCTCACTATTTTCATTAATTTTGAGATTTGAATATACGTTACATGCTATATACCATATTTTAGATGTATGAGGTTTTTGACAAAATAGATTAAGTAATCATGAGGCCAATGAGAAAGACAGGCCAGGACATGCTTTTATCAAGTGAGCAACATAATGTTAATTAACTTTCACCATGTTCAAATTGTGTTTATTCGAATCTTAGATATTTTAAAATTTTATGTACTGTACATAAAGAACTGTTCTTTCAATATAGGATAATTTAAATGACTGATAATTTCAGGTGAGTATTTTATTTAAATTACTACAAATATTTTTGAATACTTAAACTTGTTAGCTCTTTTGTTAAATCTAAATGTTAAAGGTTATGCCTAAGTGAAAATAGTTTTGTTTTTTTATTTGAATTATAATCAGTATCCTCTAATATAATCAATCTTTAATTACCTTATAATGTAAAATAGCAAATTTCTCTTTTATCCAAAAAAATTGCTGAAATTTCATACAGAACTTCATTCCTAGGATAATAATATACATTGGATAAGTAGAAGTTACTTTGTGTATAAGAGTCTCCATACACACGATATCTAAACTTAATGTCTACTTTAGGTTTTATATATACTTAATTTACCAAAATATTAAAAATATATAATCTGTATATACTGTACTGTACTCTATAAATTGCCCTTTTAACCATGATTTTAATATTTTAAAACCTGTTTCAAAATAATAAAATTTATAGCTTTTAACATATTTATTTTATTTGTAAAAGAAGTATTGAAAATAATAGTCCATTAGAAATAGTATCTCAATAATTTGTAATAAAATAATATGAAGATTACATAAAATGATTTTTTTCAGAATATTAAGAAGAAAATTGTATGTGTTAACAAAAAATGTTCAGGTGCTGTAAAATAGCTGGTTGCAAATCCAACTGTAGAAATGAGAAAAAAAACTGTTACCACTTTTCTTCCAAAAGATGTAAATAATCCTTTTGTTTGCATCAAGAATTTTGTGGAAGAGGATATCAGAAAAGATAAGTGTATAATGAAAGGTAAAGTAAAAGAATATTTACAAAAAATACCAAAGTTAAAGTCAAATGCCATACCAACAATATTTCCTGGGATATCAATAAAGTTAAGTGAAAGGAACAAAACTGGAGTGGAACCAAACCAAGACTACTCTGATGTTGAAGAAAAGAATGTGGGAAGAACTCCAAGAAAGTTTGGAATCATATAAAAGCTATATAGAAACAAGAAGTAAATTTATTGGAGGACATTTGTAGCTATTACCATAAGTATTATTTTGATAAAGGATGGATTTTAATAAGAAATAGATTATTTACTGTATATGTTTAATTGATTTGTGAAAACAAAGCTCCTTTTATGATGGCTCAACTGTAATTAATACTACTTCACAATATAAAATGAATATGAAAAATGAAATAATATCCTTGCAAAAGTAGCTGTAAAAATTGCATGTTTTAAAAAATCACATTATTTTAGATGACCTGTTTCATTTTATTGAATATGAAATTTAGATATGAGAAAGTTATGAAAGTGGATAAAATTATTAAAGAAATTGAATGTCTGATGATGATAGAGATGCCAATTGTTTCAAATGAAAATGAAAGATATAATGGATATATACTTATGTGAAATCCGCGAATTTAACGCAGTTGTCGGGAAAAAAAATGTAATCAACTCCGATAGAAAAAAACGCTCCTGGTGGGAATTAGATCGGAGGTCACCGTTTGTGATAACAATTAGATGGGAAAGTTGACACATAGGTGTCAAAAATGCACCGTTATTATCAACATGTGACTCCTTTCCCGCGACAATCGAATAAAAGCCAGAGCCCCGGAAGCTCGGGGCGATTCGTCATAGGAAGTTATAATTGATGATAGTGCCATCTCCATTCCAGGACCTCCAAACAGCGGACCCGACCACCTAAAAGGGAGAAGACACCGGTTGGAAGATACCGAGGAATCCTACCTCTTCCATACAGACGACGTTCGCCATATCAACTCTCCGTTACGCCGAGAGGTATTTAGGGCCATTAGAACTTGTAAAATCGCTCTTTCTCGAACCAGAGATTAGACAAGCGACATAGTTACGAGATTAGTCGCCCATTTTATGTAAATAGTATAGCATAACCGCATTTAACCTTAGCATTATTATAGCCTCCTGTAATCTAGATTTAGTCAATCAATAAATGCTTTGTTATTCTGTTAAACCTGTCTATCGTTGTTCTAAGGACGCCTGCCGGCTTGCTCGCTTCCCCCACCACTCGCTAAGAACCCATCCGGAATAACAACGTGGGCGGTCCTTGCAGATATTGCCGAGTAAGTGGTGAGAAGGGATTAACCCTTGGCCCACGGTTTCTCACACTTATTTTGGCAGTATCATATATATTCAGGTCCCATCTTCAAACTGTTTACAAAAAAAAGCAAAAAAGTGTAAAATTGCCTCTGAAATT